CATTCGTCTTCGCCGCGGACTTTCATTGATGGTAACTGGAGTGTAAAGTTTATGCTGTACTATCCTATATGCTATACGGCACGCTTCAATGGCTTTTCTGGGCGTCCATTTCACACCATTAAACGCGAGCATCTGTTTAAGCAGGTTGCCAGCTACTCGTGCTGCTGCTATTCATTAGTGGGCAGTGTTAATCACTCGCTTATCAAAAACAACGCCCCGCTCTTGAACATATTGTGCATGGGAAGCAACAACAGAGCTTTCTCTGTCTATTGGAACGCTTTTGTTTAGTGTTACACATTTTGTGCACCTTTTTCCAAGTCGAAACATTTTCTTTACAATTAAATTAAGTTGTCGCACACTGTGGCATGCCCTATGAAGATCATGAATGGCTGCGGCAATTTTTAGTTAGCCAAAACCAAAGACTTAGGCAACGAACTTTTTATGGCATAAGACTTTTTCAGTTAAGTACGCCTGAGCTACCAAGAAGCAAGAAGCAATAAATTTGCAGCAGTTTTGCAGTAATTGGAGCTATGAAAAGTAAAAAGCAATGAAATACCAAAAGAGCGAAAGAAAACGAGAAGAGAAGAGTAGAGACGCGTTTCCAGTAGAAATTGCGCAGAAAGCTGAAAAATAAAGCAAAAAACGCAAACTGTCTAGAAAAACAATTTGTAAATTGCTTCCGACAGCAAATTCAATAATAACAACATCAGCAACAACAACAACCAGAACTGAAACAAACACAACAACAACAATGAAGGCAACTAATAGTTACTTTCAATCATTCATCATCGATTTCAATAAACAATTTCAATGGCTAGCTGGGCAGGCAGACACCGCCAAAGATAGACGACGCACAATGGCGCTGGCACTTGCTACATGTTATTGGGAGAATGTGCCGCAGCTTCTCTTCCCTCCCCTGCTACTTCTCTACATCAGTTTACTATATCTTCCTATCAATAGACTGGCCAGCGCTCTGGCGCATTTTGAACGTGTGAAAGATTTGTTTTTCATTTGCCATTTACTGTTGTTGTGTGTAGCATATGCATGTGTGTGTGTGTGTATGTGTGTGTGTTTGTATGTGTGTTTGGGGCAGTTGAACTTTTGGTCAATCTGTGCATGACTAGCCGCAGACAGCCGGGCAGCTAGTCAGCCAACCAACCAAGCAGATAGCCAGCCAGTCTTTCTGTTATTTGGCTATAGGCTTTATATTCAATAATAATTAGAAATTCTGTTTATTTTGTTGCAAATTGCTTTTGCTGCTGCTGCCGCTGTGGCTGATTGTTGATGCTTGGTTCTTTGTCAGCGCCTTGACATTTGCTGGCACTAAGAACTACGCAGTGAACGCCCATGCCAAATAAACACAACAAATGATTGTGATATCAATTTCGGTTGAATCGAAAACCCGTTTGCAAAAAGCTCGCCGCATTTATTTATATTTGTATCGCATTCAATGCTCTGGATGCCAAATGTCAAGAGTTAAGCGTGGCTAATGCTAATAAGTAAATATTTTTATGTCACTAATAAGGCAGCAACAGACATAAGCTCTCGAAATAAAAACAGGTAAGCTGTTGCGAGCTATCAATAAAAAACTTATTTGGCAACAGCCGGCAATAAACAGTTTAAGGGAAACTGGAACAGTGCTTGTCTAACCCACAGTTAATTAATAGATCAGTCCGCTGAAGGTATGCATATTCTGGGCAGCTCTGAAATGTAGATGCGCTTGAAGTGTGAGCTGTACTGTTATTATGAGGCATTTTAAGGAGCAGCAGCTGCTGCTTCTATCTTTGACACTAGCTGCCAACATTTTTGTCATATGCAAAACAAAAGACTCAAGCAACGAACTTGAACAGAATATGCAATGCAGCCGACACTGGTCGCGGCTCACATAATTGCTGCATCAAAATTGCTTTTCATTTGCTCAAAATGAAGCAATTGTTGGGGCATGTAGCAAGCAGCAAGCAGCATGGGGCATGCAACAACAAGCCGCAACAGCAGTCAACAGTCAGCGATGCGGATGTGAAACTGCGCATGTGCGGCGCTTCTTTTGTTTCGCCTTTTCGCCACTTTGTGGGCAACCAGCAACACAGCAACACAGCTTTGCAGCTCCGCAGCTGCTTAACATGCCACACAGTCAGTAGAACTGCAAATGCAACCACATGTAAGCAAAATATGTAATTATGTTAGAAGCGAGTGCAACGGCTGATCTGCGACTGCATCTGCCTTGTTGCCTAGCTGTCACTTGTTTATTGCAATGTTTTGTTTTTTACTCGTATTTATTATGCAAGCTGTTTTTATTTTTTCCGCCGCCTGAGCTATTGATTTTATATCTGATGGATTTATGCCAGTCGCGAATTGACAAATTGCGATGCTGCGCTTGCCATTTGCTTAGCATCTGTCAATTGCCAATAGACAAATGGGCAAACAAAAGACTTGGGCAACAAACTGGCTGTGGACGACGTGGCACTTGTAAAGCAATTTGTCAAATTTTTCGTTGACGACTTAATAAGCCAAGCAAACAAAAATTCGTGACACAATACATGCATAAATATTTGTATACACAGCCACATAAATATTTGTATGCACAGCCTTACGACATGTACCAAAATTTACAACACAAACATTTGTTTATTAATTTCTTTGAAGCGAAGGAGTTGGCCCAGCTTTTAGATAAGTCAATTTCGCGCGAGGTCAATTTCAAATTTATGAACTTGAAAAGCGACAGCAACAAACAACAAAAAACTTGGGCAACAAACTCGACTATGATTTATAGCCAGAAAAGTTAAACGAGACGTTTAAGAAAACATGCTATGACAGCCTCTGAGAACTGGGTCAAAATTAGCAAGACCTCTTCACTAAGCTTACAATGATGTGCTATAATTTCCAAAGCCAGAATATGGGTGATTTAGAGAAGACCTCAACTAGAGGAAATGGGCAAAAAAAGTTATATAGTTTTTAAATATATTCCAATTAATCTTAGTTAAGCGCAGCCCATTTCAATTTTCACACACTTTAATTGGCAAATACCCTATAAAGATTATAGAGATCAAACTTTCGCTGACATCGCTCTAAATATCAAGTGAGGAGCGTAAATTGTGTGAAAAAACGTACAAAGTGGATTTTCTCACAACACATATGTATGCACACGCATCGGTTCAAACAATATGAAGATGTTTAAAATATTATAATTAATTACGATCTTTTTTTACAAAACAAACAAAAAAAAAAACACTTTCAAAAGCACAAAACTCAAAGTCAAAGCAAAGTTCAATGCCAAAAACAAACAAACAAACAAAAAAGAGATACAAAAGCGTAAAAGGCATTCATATTGTATGCAGCTCAAAGGTATGCTCCCATCTGCCGGCTGTTTTCCATACTCTGCTGATAATGCTTAATTATATATACATAAACCGCAACGAGACAATGCAACAGGCCAGCAACAATGCCTTTGATAGTGTACAAACGAATTCACACGGCGCTGCCATTCGAGAGAATTCAAAAATAATAATAACGAAAACAATTCAAATGCGCCTTGTTGGGCACTCGCTGAGTCTTATAGACAACATTACGATTAAGTGGCCTGCGCACTAGTTCGATTTAATTGTAGCAAAGCATTGCCTTCCGACCATAGAGCTCCACATCCATAAAGATGACCCACAGAGTCATAGCTCCACTTAATTAAAGCTCCCCCCGAAACGGTGTGTTGTGCCATACATTAAATCAAAAATCCAAAAGCAAGTGCCACATTTTGAAGTTCAGCAACAATTCCAAAAAATAAAAAAAAAAACAATATTCGTAATGAATATAAAAACTCATTTAACACGGTTTATTTTTAATTTATTTATGCATTAAGCGCCTGTCGCTCAACGCTTGGTGAATGCCAATTGCTTGGCCACGGCAACAACAACAACAGCAATGTTATATATAGAAACGAATTGACATTAAAAATGTTGACATCACGAGGAAGTCCAGCACGAGGCAGCTTATGCTAATAATGCTTTGAGGCAAGGCTGCCAAAAGTTGCACTGCAAATGCAACTATTACAAAATTATTTTTCATCAATGCGGAAATCAAAGTGAAATTATAAATTTGTGCGGGTAGCTAGTTTTAGTTGTTTCTAAGCGCATTTTTCTGCAGCTCAAGTTCTGCTTTATCGTTGTAATGTGGACCAATCAATAAATTTAGGATTTCATTTCTTTTCCTGCCATATTCAAACAATGATTATATGGCAAACTTGTCTACTAATAAATATATATATATATATAACTATGCACGTATAATCCTAATCGGCTTTGCTGACAAGACTAGTTGTCGCTTCACGCTTATCACAACATCATTTTTAGAGTTTTTTTGGGTAAACAATTTGAGTTGCGAATAAACAATTAACTTTGACTGGCGGCCGTTGCGCATCTTGAGCTCATTTGCATCTTTTATTGTTGTATTGCGTGAGTTTATTAAAAAAAAATAAAAGAGCCTCATGAAATTATACTAATAAAAGAGAAAAAGTCTCAAACAAAGTATATATATTTGTCTATATGTATATTGTTTAGTGGACCAAAAGTAGCGCAGCTGTCGAAGATCGATTGCCTGAGCGCGAGTCGCATAAACAAATTAATTAGCATCTATAAGGTCGACACAACATTGAAAATTGCAGTGGTATACAAAAATAAACAGCACGCTTGCTGGATGCTGTTCAAATTAGTTGTACATCAAATATTCACAATAGCCGAGATCTATTAACAAGCCTTGCTTTCCAGCTGCAAGATCTCGTCTTGTTGCTGGGCGGACAATATTTGTTGTGTGTGTGGTGTGTAAGCCAGGCAAGTTTTTGGGCCGATTTGCTGGCCAGTTCGCAGTTGAGTGCGACTCATCTTTTAGCCGGACATTATTATTGGCTGTTTGTGAACGCTGTTCACACCCTCAAAGTTTTTGGCAAATAAAAAATAAATCAATTAGCGCAACAGGCTGACTAATCCAATTTTCCACGCCTTTTCTCCTTGCAGATACATTACGCCAGCGGCCGCAGCGACAACAACAACACAGGCCATAAGCACAAATTGCGGTTCAACGGGCGGCACAAGTCTGGCGGTTTATCCCACGGCCACGGCGCAGGTGTACCGCTCCAACAACGGCATCGATGTCCTCGACTGCGCCGGCCTGGAGCATCATAATGGATCAACAGGAACAGCAACTGGAAGCAATTCCAGTGGCAGCGGCTTCTCGCAGCGACTGCGAGAGTTGGCCGCCTCCGCTGGTTTGTTATCCCTGAAGCCACGCCAGCCGCTGAAGCCTGTGATTAAGACACGAGGCTCGCCGGGTCCCGAGTTTCCTAAAAAGGTCACTTTCAGCGCCTTTGCCACGGTGCAGGTGGTGTGACTTTCCAGCACTGGACGTGGCAGTCATATTTTGGAGACGCAGGCACTCTATGGCTAGGTGAGCACATACATGAGCTCTAAATAAACAGTAAATGTTTTGCTAATAGTTTGCTTATCTTTCAATTGCAGTTGGCGCGTGTCTTGCATTGTTAACCGTTATTGTTGTTTTGTTGCTGTTGTTAAATGTTTAGCATTACTATGGATCGGCATCTGGCAGACTTGGAAACAATATTCCTTAAGCTAAATTTATTTTTGTGCCATGTCTTTGGCTTGAATCTGTTATGAAATATGTACCAATATATGTATGCTCCATAGCTGAAAATACCTCAAAGACCCTACAACTATCTGTTATAAAATCTGAATATCCAGCACAAACTTTAAACTTATTATCATCAATCGCACCAACTTTCTCTCCCTATTCAATTGTTTGAAATGCTTTTCCAGGAAGACTGACATTTTATTCGATTTCACAGAGTTCCTTTCCCTACGTATTTCAATATTCACAAATCTATTTTGCTAAATCCTCAAACAGTATTTTTCCCATCAGTACATTTCTTGGCAATATTAACTTGTAATCACAATCCCAAATTGAAGACTACACACAAAAATTCTAATATTTTCCATTGAATTGTAAATATGTATGAATTTTTGCATAGTCATAAATGTATATGTGGCGTTTATATGTGTAATATGTAAGTCTGCTTGAGTGTATTATGTATATATACCAGAACTTTACATATGTATTGTAAAACACACGATATGAGAGTAAAATTAAAAATAATTATGTATATGTTTGTAACTGCCTTCTATAAACACAAAATAAAAACACAATTGCTGTATATTGTATTTTAAATATATTATTATAGAATGTAATTTAAGCTAATATTATGCATGATCAAATAAAAACGAGAGAACAACAACTCAATTAGTTTTACTAAGCTAATGGGGGATGACTCAAATAATTCGAATCTTGCGCTCTCTGTGAGCAACAAGATTTATGTAAGCAATTGCTTTGTTAACAGATATGTTAACAGCAGTAGATTCTGTTGGCTAAAGACTTAACTGTAAGCAATAAATACATTTATTTGTTATTTTATAATTTTTTCATTTGTGAGCTCTGGAAGAAAAGAATTAAGATATTGAGAGGAGTTGAGGAATGGCATGGTATAGTCCAAGCATTTAACCTTAGCTAATTCTGTTAACTAACATGAGGAGCATGAGGAGCATGAGGAGCAAATTAAAAGTTTCTGTTGACCGCAGCTATAATTAACAGAAAGTCAAACTGTATATGTGGAGCAAATGTTAACTGGCGGAGCAATTCTGTTAAGTTTAGCTGGTAGTGTGGCAACGCCAGCATCAAAAGAGATTAGTTACGCGCCTCAATGTGTACACACTTCTGCTTTCCCGCCTTTTGTGAAAATATTCCGAGCTACGTAAATTAAAACAATTTAATAATTTGTTGTGTTTCAAATGGCTGATTCACCTTGTAAGTTGTGCCAAATTATTATTGTTGAATATATTAAAAATCAAATTTCCCAAGCAGCTGGTCCGCGTGTCAAACGACAACGCATAGACAAATCCGGTCGTTTTGCAGCTTTAGAGCGACTCAGAGGTTTAAAGGGTGCGAAAAACAAATGCCAGGTGGAAGAAAAAGTGGACGATGTATACGAAGTGATAGACGAGCGTGAGTATGCGAAGCGAGCAAATGAAAAATACGGTGGCGATTGGATTGAAGAAGGTAAGTAGCACAAATATAGCGAGAAACAAGACCATTAAGCCAACTATAATTTGCGTTCATAGACGGCACAGGCTACGTAGAGGATGGTCGCGACTTTTTTGAGGATGAGGATGAGTACTCTGATGAGGAAGGAAAGAATCAGAATGATGGCAAGAAAAAGAAATCAGCTAATGCAAAGAAACGACCACGCGAGAACGACTCAGGTCCAGCCAAGGGGAAGGCGTCCATTCGCAATCTCTTCAGCAATGCAGTTCCGAAGAAGGTGGACATCAAAAACAGTGTCAAGGATGACGATATTCTGGCTGACATATTGGGGGAAATTAAAGAAGAGCCTGCTGTCGACTCATCTGCATCAAGACAACAAAAAGTAATTGCACCAGCTAAAACTGTTGCAGCTGCACGCAAATCTGATGCACTCGCTGCCAAGGAGTATATGAATAGTTTCTTGAGCAACATAAAAATGCAAGAGCATCAGCGCAAAAAAGAAGCTAGCAGTGACGACGAAATGCTCGATCGTATACTGCAGCCAAGAGCAACAATGCTGCCCAACAAGAAGGCGACCCCAATTGCAGCTACAGCTCCAGTGAAAGTGAAGCAGGAGGAAACTGCTGAGCAGCCCAGGAAGAGGACAACAAAAGAAGCTACGCCTGAACTTGATGACAATGACGTGGACTTTAGTTGCTTAGATGACGATGAGAATCAGTTCGAGTTGGCTGCATCGAAAGTCAAGCCCCCTGTCAAGCCAGAAACTACGGAGAAGCCCTCAGCAGTTACAGCTGCCGCTGCCAAACCAGAAACAGAGGACATGAGCAAGCTGCTTAGCAACTGGGAGTCAATATGTCAAATGGATGATGACTTCGAGAAATCGGTGTTAGCCAGTGAAGCAGAGACATCCGTAGGTAGCGATCCAGTGGACGTAGAGCAGCTGCGTTTTTGGTACTGGGAGGCTTGGGAAGATGCGCTGAAGCTGCCCGGTGAAGTTTTTCTCTTTGGACGTACGCCAGACGGCAAGTCCATATGTGTGCGCGTTCAGAACATCAATCGTGTGCTCTATCTTCTGCCCAGGCAATATGTGAGTATGCAACAGAAATCGGCTATAGCAAACCCTGATTAACTTGATCTACTTTCAGCTGCTAGACCCCATTACAAAGGAGCCCACTAAACAAAAAGTCACAGCTGCCGATATGTACAAGGAGTTCGATACGCACATTGCCACAGAGCTGAAGCTGGATACGTTCCGTTCTCGAAAGGTGAGCAAGAGCTTTGCCAACCATGCTATTGGCATAGATGTGCCGCAAACCTGCGACTACCTGGAGGTCCATTACGATGGCAAGAAGCCGGCGCCAAACATGTTAAATAAGAAATACGATTCCATAGCACACATATTTGGAGCCAACACCAATGCGCTGGAGCGCTTTTTGCTAGAGCGGAAGATCAAGGGTCCGTGTTGGCTGCAGATTAGCGGCTTCAATAAAAATCCTGCGCCTATTAGCTGGTGCCAAACAGATGTGACGATCGCTGAGCCGAAGAACGTGGAGCTTGTGCTGGAGCAGGGAAAACCAACACCGCCACCTGCCATAACCCTGCTCACACTCAACGTGCGCACCTCTATGAATCCAAAGACACTTAAGAACGAGATCTGCATGATTTCGATGCTCACCCACAATCGCTTTAACATAGACAAGCCGGCGCCGCAGCCCGCCTTCAATCGTCACATGTGCGCCCTCACACGACCGGCTGTCTCCAGCTGGCCTTTCGATTTGAATTTGCAGCTAACGAAGTACAAGTCCACAAAGATCTACAAACACGATTCTGAGCGCGCGCTGCTCAGCTGGTTTCTGGCGCAGTATCAACAAATCGATGCAGATCTTATAGTTACTTTCGATGCAATGGATTGCCAGTTGAATGTCATAACGGATCAGATTGTAGCCCTGAAGATACCTCAGTGGTCGCGCATGGGACGCCTGCGTTTCACACAAACTTTTGGAAAGCGTCTTCTGGATCACTTTGTGGGTCGCATGGTGTGCGATGTGAAACGCTCGGCGGAGGAGTGTATAAGAGCCAGATCCTACGACCTGCAGACGCTATGCCAACAGGTACTCAAGTTGCAGGAGTCTGAACGCATGGATGTCAATGCGGATGATCTGCTGGAGATGTATGAGAAAGGTGAGTAAATCTCAGTCACACTTAAAATTGTTGACATGCATTTCTTTTTCATAGGCGAAAACGTTACCAAGCTCATCTCGTTAACCATGCAGGACGCCTCATATATGCTGCGCCTCATGTGCGAGCTAAATATCATGCCACTGGCACTGCAGATAACCAACATTTGCGGCAACACAATGACGCGCACACTTCAAGGCGGCCGCTCCGAGCGCAATGAATTTCTTCTGCTTCATGCCTTTCATGAAAAGAACTATATTGTACCCGATAAACTGCCACAAAGACGTGGCGTTGCTGCCAACACTCATGCTGATCCTGATGCCACCACGGGTAATGACACAACGGTAGCTGCAGGCAGTGGACCAGCTCGTAAGAAGGCAGCGTATGCGGGAGGCTTGGTACTGGAACCCTTGCGGGGACTTTATGAAAAGTACGTGTTGCTCATGGATTTCAATTCGCTGTATCCGAGCATCATACAGGAGTATAATATTTGCTTCACCACGGTGCAGCAGCCACACGATGCGGAACAGCTGCCTGTGCTGCCAGACTCCAATGCAGAGCCAGGCATTTTGCCGATGCAATTGCGCCGTTTGGTGGAGTCGCGTCGCCAGGTCAAGAAGCTAATGGCTGTGCCGGATCTATCGCCGGAACTTCATATGCAATATCATATACGACAGATGGCACTCAAGCTGACTGCAAATTCCATGTACGGTTGTCTCGGATTTGCGCATTCGCGCTTCTTTGCACAGCATTTGGCAGCGCTGGTAACACACAAGGGTCGCGAGATTCTGGTTAACACACAGCAGCTGGTGCAGAAGCTCAACTACGATGTGGTTTATGGTGACACGGATTCGCTGATGATCAATACGAACATAACGGACTATGATCAGGTCTATAAGATTGGACACACCATTAAGCAGAGCGTGAACAAGCTGTACAAGCAACTCGAGCTGGACATTGATGGCGTCTTCGCCTGTTTGCTGCTACTCAAAAAGAAGAAATATGCGGCCGTCAAGCTGACCAAGAATGCAAAAGGCGTGCTGCGACGTGAACAGGAGCACAAGGGTTTAGATATAGTCCGTCGCGATTGGTCACAGCTCGCCGTCATGGTAGGCAAGGCGGTGTTGGATGAAGTGCTCGCAGATAAGCCACTGGAGGATAAACTTGATGCTGTGCATGCCCAGCTGGGACGCATCAAGGACCAAATAACAGAGTCTGTTGTGCCGCTGCCGCTGTACGTGATCACCAAGCAATTGACACGTGCGCCGCAAGAGTATGCCAACAGCTCTTCACTGCCCCACGTTCAGGTGGCGTTGCGCATGAATCGAGAAAGGAATCGACGCTATAAAAAGGGCGACATGGTGGACTATGTGATCTGTTTAGATGGCACCACAAATGCGGCCATGCAGCGGGCCTACCATCTGGACGAGCTGAAGAGCAACGAATCGCTGAAGCTGGACACGAATTACTATCTGGGCCATCAGATACATCCGGTGGTCACACGCATGGTGGAGGTGCTCGAGGGCACCGATGCGAGTCGTATTGCTGAGTGCCTGGGCATGGATGCCAGCAAATACAGACAGAATGCACAGCGGTACGTGTAGCCTATTCAGTTTTAATACATACTTCACTAATGAGAATCCCTTACACTCACACAGCATTCAACGCGAGCGTACGGAAGAAGCCGAAGGAGAATCGCTGCAGAAGACCACGTTGCAGCTCTATCGCCTGTGTGAACCCTTTCGCTTCAAGTGCGTTAGGTGTAAAACGGAACAGCTTATGGCCAGCGCCTATCGGCCGGGCCCGAACAGCAGCCATGTGCCGGTGCTGCAGCAGTGCGCCAATCCGGAGTGCCAGACATCACCTTTGCAATATTTGGTTAGCATACGCAATCAGCTGCAGCTGTGCATGCGTGGATATGTGCAGCGTTTCTATCGCAATTGGCTGGTGTGTGACCATCCTGATTGCAACTACAATACAAGAACCTGTTCCATGCGGCTCGAGCTGCGTCGACCGCTGTGCCTCAAATGCAACAGTGGTGCCATGCTGCGCCAGTACTCTGAGCGCGATCTCTACAATCAGCTGTGCTACCTGCGTTTCACATTTGACCTCAGCAAGCAGCAGCTGCATCAGAAACGTATGTGCACCATTAGCTTCGCTTTTTATTGACTTGTTAACACTCTCCCTCTCTGTATAGCTACTTTAACACCTGAACTGGAGCAGGCCTATCAACTACTTTATGACACTGTGGAACAGCAATTCCAATGCTCCAGCTACGTTGTCATCTCGCTTGGCAACATATTTGCGCGCAGCCTGGCGCTGTCGACACTGCAGCCGCCCAAGAAGGAGCAACGGGATGATGCAGTAGCCTGCAGCTTGGCGGATGTTTAGTTCACGTACAACCCCAACATTTATTAAATCTACACATGCTCACACACATATATATAAATCTTTGATAAACTAGCTAAGAAACTTGTCTAGCGGAAAGTGACGGAAGGATTCATTGAATATATCCGTGAATGCCGTGCTCACCAGCTCATTGATCATCGGTCGAACAAAGGGTAAGCCCAGCTGCCACATGCTGTTGATGACCCCATCGGCTAGCTGATTCAGTGGTTGTCCCTGTAACAGATTCCCTATATGCAACTCCATGCCGCCAATGTGATCGACCTCGACATGCACCTTCAGCAGTGAGCCCGGATCGCCCACGCGTCGCACGCTCGTCGTTTGACTGTATCGACATAAGATTATGAAAGATATATATAATTGTAGTACAAATACTCAGAGATCGCACCTGTAATCATAAAGTGTTAGATTCCAATGACCCTGTCGTTGCAGCTCGGTACCCAGTATCTTGGCGGCGAACTCGTATTCACCCTCTAGGCTCTTCTCGGGAAAGTATTGCGCGTAGACGATACGCTGATCTTTGGCATCGCTATGAAATTTAGTCACCTCCGAGCGCGACCAACCGTATTCCGAGACGTTGCGCAAGATCAGCTTTAAGCTGCCCGGGCCATGTGGATCGCCGCGACGCAATTCCACGAACGACGAGTGATGCGGATCAAAGGGCTGGATATTGTAACCGGGCACACCTTTTAGCATGGAGACGCGTATATTTGTTAACTCGCTTCATACCACCTGATCCATTTAAGTAGTAGCTCACCTGTTGTGAAATAGGCGCGCAGATCGTTGAACACCTGTTTCATGCAATCGTTGTATGCATCCAGATTCGCCTCATCTCTGTGGCAGCGGCCGATCAAGTGTTTCAAATCGTCGTCCACGTCTATTTGACTGGAAGCATCGGTTTTGCCCACAAATACAGCAATAACAACTAACACTAGGAAAGTAAACAGTAAACAGTGACCGTTACAGTTTGGAAGCGACTGTTGCGACATTTTTGTTTATTCTCCACCGCGTCTCTGTTGAAAACAAATGAAAATTTATGTGTATTGATAATTGTGAAGTTTGTGTATGTTTTGCTTATAGTCTTAAGCAGGTGTGAAGCGCAGAGTTGACATTCAAAATATCTATTATTGAATATTTAAATATGTTTGGGCCTAGTTACAGTTTAAGTTGCAGTTCTTAGCAATGGAGATTTCTTGTATTTAAGTAATCTTTGTGGGTACTTTCGTACTGCTTGGATAAGAGTACTTGACCGATAACTGTTTGTCAGAACCTGTCCATAATTTGAAAGCAGTTTAAAACTACGTTTACGTTTCCCTATTAGAACAGTTCGACTGCTTTATTCTTAAAAGTACTCAACTGCTATGGCTGCTATGGCTTGAACTGCTTTAACTGTCGCTGTCTGAAAATTTGAAGTTTATTTAGTGCTTAACTCTTTAGGGCCATGCCGCGTCTTAATAGTTGTCTTTTAGAGGCAATTCCCAACTTAATTATAAAAAACCTTGCAGAGCATAATGAAATCTAGTCACGCAAAGCGAAGGCTTGTTGCCATAGAAATTATTATTGTTATACTTTAAATAACGTGTCTTTAGAAAACTCAGTTTTCTGGGTTTATCACTTAATCTCAATACGATTAGAATTTGCTATATGACAATGCTTGTATGCCATGTGTTATTTAAGCTGGAATTGTGGCACTTTTGGTGTTGCACAATTGAAGTCATGCACAGTTTGAACTCGTTTTGCAGTTTCAGCTGCTCTGGTATAGATTTCTTATCGTCGCGTCTGTCAATGCTTGACGGACTTATCACGCTTCTCAGGGCCATGTCGAACTACACAAACATTTTGTTAAGGCAATTTAAGATACAGTTTTTTATTTCAGGTGCTCATCAGAGTTTTGTTTTGGTGTTTTTTTCTTTCCTTTATTGTAATTTCCGCTGCACTTGACCTCTTTTTTGTTGAAGTGCACAGAAACTGTTGTAGTTTTTGTTTTGTGGACTTTGCTTTGATTCATTTTAGGTTGTTATTAACGGGCGCTCGAGCGCAGAGAAACATTAAACGTAAACAAAAGACTTGTACAAGTCACAAACTTGCGGGCGTGCAAGAAAGATTGGACAATATGCAACTGCGGAGCTGTAAGCTAAGCTTTTTAGACCTGACCACCTCTACTGACATGCAACATCAACGACGATAACAACAACAACTAGAAGCGGCAAATTGTGATTGTAAAGTGAGCAGCTTTGGCTTTCTGCCGGCTTTGGCCAGGCTTCAACTGACCAGAGCGAACCAACAGCTGAAAGTTAGTCAGTTAGTTGTTGTTGTTGTTATTGTTGCTGTTTAGTTGCAAATTGTGTAATTTCTCTTGCCACTCGATATAGCGCAACTCGTTGAGTGTGGCAAGCCACAGTTTGAGCTTCACCCACCCGCTGCAGTTCACGAAGATATTTGCTTTACTTTGTTGATCGCTTGTTTATTTTGATTCGTGGTGCTATTTTTGGCACCTCAACTAGTTGATCACAAATGTGCTTCCTGATATTTGGGTTAGAGTGAAAATTCAAAATTTAACTGCTCGTTCCGTATGCAGCGCCCGCACTCAGGTTTACAGTTAACTGTGCCGAATACGCGACGCCTTTGTACTTTATATAAAATTTTGCTTTTTACTTTTGCGTGTGAATCATGCGAGCGTCAACTGGCAACTGGCTTCAAATTTTGCAGGCCGGCCAAATATGTGAGTGCAAATGCCGCTAAGACTGGGCGACTCGGAGAGCCCGGCTGTATGGGCTGCAAAGCTCATAAACGCACACACGCTCGCACACTCTTTGGTAATTGCCATTTAATTTCCTTATTTACTTTGCGACAAACCCACTTTATGTTCATAAGTCATGTGTGTCCATTCGTCTTGCAGTGGCCGAGCTGAATTTAATTAGGCAACATCGTTTATTTATTCATTTATTGTCGCGTACGCACAGTCAAGTTCATGGCGTTGAATATCTTAGGGTTTCTCTGTGCGTGCCTCGCAGCCTAAACTGTAACAAGCAAATATTTCTATAGGTATTTCGATTTGATTCGATTCGTTTGGCATCTTAGCGAACGAAGGCTGTTCACTATTTGCACGTGAATCGAAGCAAGGTTAATTTGAATTTAAACGGATTAAAAATACTGCGCGCTAATTTATAGCGCCATCTGTGGACCGGCGTTGGAAATTTTCAGCACTGCTTTGTTAAATACTCTTGGTTTGCAATTGTCTTGTCAAACTGGAATTCCAAGTTGACTGAAACAGCGCCACCTATATCATGAGGCTTCGTTAAGTTAATATATTCCAATCAGAATTCGTATATTACGCCATCTGTGGTGCAATAGCAATGTACGTTTCTTAAATTACTAAATTAAAGCTACTAGTTCGTTAGGTTTACATCTGTTTTACATTTTTAGACTATAGTTTAATGTAGGTTATGTTGAATTGAAATTGTAACCAAATATATATTTACATTTTCAGTGACTAATTTCGAAACAACAAAAAAATGTGGAACGCTTCACGATTTTGCGTGTCATCCTTGCGCAGGGGCCATGCTAATCTTCTCTGTATCGTTCCAATTTTAGTATATGTTCTGCCGAAGCAAGAACGAAGTCTTAGCCAATGGGCGACCTATTTATATGGCCATGCTGGCGAATCACTAGTTGAGAATTACAAGTCGTTGGTAACACTGCAGCTCAGGTAGCGCATACAAACACGAGATGAGGGTTGCTTTGCCTCTATGCTTCGCTGCTTTCGATTGGGCTTCTCTTTATTAGCTACAATTGTTATATTCGTATATGTTTAAATATATTATATGTATGTATGTGGTGCATGTCCGTTCCGTGCCGTCGAGTATTGAAGTATGTCGGGTGAACCTTGGAGTCAACGTTCAGTATTCATAGTTGGGCTCGATAAGTCTATTGGAGAAATTCTGCCAGCGAGCGCGATTGGGCCAAGGCAGGAAACGAGCTGGTACACGCTTCTTCAGATTATCGTCTTCACATCCCTTCCTGAGACACTTCCAGCTGTATTTGTGGTCGCTGCAGTTGATGCATCGGTTGCATATGCACGTCAAAGGCTTCGCACATTTGGCTTCGGGGTCCTGTTCGTAACAGGTGTCGTTCACACTGAGATAGCGCAGAGATTTGATGATGCGATGATAAATGTCTGGACAACTATCGGATTCCCTGCACATATCCGAGTTGCCGTAGCCGCTGCTAGAAGGCACGGTGGCACTTTGCTGGCAAATCACAAATATGGTGACCAGACCGAGGAGCAGACGGAGTCTATCCAGCCCATGGTGAACCAGTTGCGAATGGGGCATTATCAACGCTTAGCCTGGGCCACGGTAACAGCTACTGCTGACCAATGGCTTCAGGGCGAATCCTTTTATACGCGCCCAACTTCTTAATTAGATGCAAATCTATGCGAATAGCATTGATTAATTAATGAAATTCGTTCATTAACTGCCCCCATTTTCAATTGAAAATCAATTTTCCACAAAACTGTGCAGCGAGCCATAATGGTTCAATGCCAATGCCACGAGTCGATGATTTTATTTATGTAGAAGGCTTCACGTTTGGAGTGACAGCGTCGCAAATTGGCAGCTCAAGTGCAAAACGCAGAGGTTCTTGAAAGCAAAATAATATTTTTATTCCATATAAAGACGTTAAGCTTATTCAAAAGTGGCAAACACACTCAAACTGTGCTGCTGCATAAGGTAGATGATGAGGCAAGCAGACGCTATAATGCTTGCGTAAGTAAAATATAGCAAATCAATTCAATTCATGTTGGCAGTTTCGTTTAAATAGCAATAATCTGTAATGTTCTATTAGCCAACCTTTGTTAAAGTTAAGATGAATGAAGTCTTGAATGGCCACGGTAAATCTTGTAAACTTGCTGTCCATGTTGACCATTTGATATCTAGTCAAAAGTAGAGTAAGAATTTTAGGCAAGAATGGAGGAGTTTTTAACGCTCATCTTACCTTTTCGGCATGGACGCGTTCAGGAATCTGCGCTCCACATACGTTCCCAAATAGGGGCAAATCGCATATCGGTCAAAGTCGAAGCTGCCGTAGAATTTGAAAAACTCTTTCAGCTGTGCGCGTACATTCTGCTCCGTAAGAGCTATTTGGCATGGCTCGTTCAATGATTTCAGTTTGTTGAAGTCACAAATCACAGCTGCAAATAGTCTATTAATTGGAGAAATACTTGCAATATTATCTACATACGTCCTATCTGCGGGCTTAGCCCTGCCTGCAACACATGAATGCCTGGAAGATGTTCCCTAATTTGCAAAAAGAATATGAGCATCAGCAGAAGTAGATGGCTGCGGAACATATCTTGCTGACCATGTTTTCTTATCCAGTCTCTCAAATAGATAATCATATAACGAGCTGTAAATACACTAATTGATATACAGCTCTTATGCAACGTGCTAACTCACCTATCGGCTGCAACTCGAAGAGATAGAGGACTATCTTATTCTGGAAGTAGGCGTAAGCATCACTGCAATTTATGTCGCACTGCAAGCCAGTGAATCTATTTTGAATGATGACTATGGGACATCTGCCGCGGCGCTGTTCAATACGTTTCCAGTTGCAACGTGAATTGAAAACTTTCGCAATCATTGCCTGTCTCACAATGGTCTTCCTAGTCGGTGGATTGTCGGTGTATTCGTAAAAGCTGTCCTCTAAGTACACAAGATTAAGAAATAAGTAAGACAGCTCTGGTTAGGAGTGCTTTGGCACTCATCTATGTGCTGCACTGGGCTGGATTAGTTATCGAATGCCTCCGGCACTACAGACTAATAATCCTAATGATCTTAAATGGTGTGCACTGTTCGAAAAGTTAAGTTTCTTTTGTTTCTTATAATTTATGATCATACAAAATTTATTACAATCGATCTTTCCAGGTGTGTGAGCTATAGGTAAATTATTCCAATTGATCAAGATCAAGTTAGCGCGGGGTCCTGATCGAGAATTTACAGATAGAATTTACCAATAATGTCTTCGTGCAGTTGCAAGTTTTCTCTTTGGAACGAATGTCTCAGTAAATGTTCATTAGCATTAACATTAATAATTAGCTTTATTTAAAAATAATAATATAGATTTGAACTGAAAAGTCAGCAATAGACACGCTTTTGGCTTCAAGTCTTCATACAGTTGGCTGTCACATGCACTCGGACAAAAACGATATGCGCTGAACGGCTTCGCTGGGTATACGATATACGATATACGATATACGGTATTCTGATGTTGATGTCAAATTGCTGTTTGGAACGTTCTTATTATATTTTATTGAAAATTTAAGCTTTTGTTATCTTTGTATGCCAATGCATACATAAGTATTTATTTATCCATACATAAGAATTTATTTATGTATGTATGTGAGAAGCGCGCTTACGCAGATTCAATGAAGGCTATAGAACTGAAATATTTACCAAATTTAACGAAAATGTCCAAGTCGGATGTTTCCTGAGCAATGCCCAAAACGCGTGATCCGAAGAGATAAATTTGAATTTTGGTACTCAATTTTGCTTTCAGCAATGTCTGCAATTCTGCTTCGATGTCAGCTAAATTAGTTTGCATTTTATTAGCAATTAGAACTTTTTTCAAAAGCTCCGACCAAAATGTAGAAGACGCTAAATAAAAATATGAAATAAATAACATATACAAAAATCTTTTTTAAGCTTACTCAAAGACATTTTGGTAGTCAAGATCCAAGTACTTCAAGCTTCTTGCGGTGGTTCCCCAATATTAACTGACTGCCTATGTTACCAAACGCACCCAAACTTGCCTAGAATCTTACACTTCTGAGTAATCTGTATTAAAGTGTGACCAAGTAAATAGCTCTTCAGAAATAACAAATAGCTTGATGCATAGAAATAGATTTATAAATGGAATGGAACAGAAAAAAATGATTGAAATACTTATTTGCAATACATCTTTAAATATGAATATATAAAATATATGTGAAGGTATATGGAAATTTCAACCGAAAAATCAGACTGAATTGATTAGAATGTGAACAGAGATCTTCGGACAATTTCGGAGTATTTCAAAGAGAATTATCAAATAATCAAATGTTGTTTACCTGCAGCTTATTAATTTTTATTGTGGGAGAGTGGGACTAATCTGTCATAATATGCTAACGTACTTAGTAGTAATCTGCTATGGTTATCAGCCGGTGCGAGAGGTTGGCGGTGTAGCGCTGATAGGGAATACAAGCTAAGTAGCTTAGTGTTTGGTTTTTTTTGGTTTTCCAATTGGCAAACGCACGCTGAGCGGAGTGGACTCTTTCCAAATGGTTGCCGAGAAAGTTATTTTGGCCTATTCGGGTGGACTGGATACGAGCTGCATACTCAAATGGCTGCTGGAGCAACGCTATGAGGTCATCTGTGTGCTGGCCGATGTTGGCCAGCAGGAGAACTTTGAGGCAGCTCGTCAAAAGGCGCTCAAGATTGGAGCCAAGGAGGTGGGCTAACGAGACGTCCGTTGCTAATCAGTGTCAATTACTTCTAATCGTAAGACAATATACATCGTTGTAGGTAATTGTTGCTGATATCAAGCAGCAATTTGCCGAGCAATACATTTGGCCAGCCATCCAAATGGGGCTTATCTACGAAGAGCGTTATCTACTGGGCACATCACTGGCGCGCCCTTGTATAAGTGTCGCCTTGATAGAGGCCGCCAGGCGGCATAGCGCCAAGTACTTGGCTCACGGCGCCACCGGCAAGGGGAACGATCAGGTTCGCTTCGAGCTATGCGCCTATGCATTGCAGCCGGACTTGAAGGTGATTATGGATGGATGGAGTGTGTGGGTGGTTAGCAACTAGTTGATTCCTATTTCTTTGATATAGATTATTGCTCCGTGGCGCGATTTGGAATTCTGTCGTCAATTTCAGGGCAGGCAGGATCTTATTGCCTATGCCCAGCTACATGGAATTGAGGTGACAGCTAAGCCAGCGACACCCTGGAGCACGGATGCAAACATGCTGCACATTAGCTACGAGTCGGGCGTGCTTGAGGATCCGAACACTGTGGCGCCTAGCAGCCTCTACGAGCTAACTCTCGACCCATTCACGCAGGCACCGAAGAAGCCGCATCGCCTCTGTGTCCACTTTGAGCATGGACTGCCTACGGGAGTTGAGGACTTGGCCAATAGTCGAGTGTACAGCACGCCCATGGATATGCTCAAGTATCTAAATGAACTGGGCGGCAGCTATGGCATTGGACGCATTGACATTGTAGAGAACCGTTATGTGGGGCTCAAGTCCCGGGGCGTGTACGAGACTCCAGCCGGCACCATACTCTATGCAGCGCATCAGGACTTGGAGGTGTTCGCATTGGATCGCGAAGTGCTGCGCACCAAGCAACTATTGCGCGATCGAATGTCCGACTACGTGTACAATGGCTATTGGTTCAGTCCCGAGGCACTCTATGTGCGACGCTGCATTCAGCTGGCCCAGGAGCAGGTCACTGGGCAGGTGACAATGGAGCTAGCGCCAGGCTATTGTCGTGCCATAGCCCGCAAGGCGGCGGACAAAGTTGGTGCACTCTACAATCAGCAACTCGTCTCAATGGATGTCCATGGCGGCTATGTGCCACAAGATGCGGGCGGTTTCATTGCGATCAATGCGGTGCGCTTACGTGAGCACGTACGAGCCTTCGGTCCCTACCGGACTGATAAGAACTAGCTGACCTTTCAAAAACATGAAAGAAGTACAGCTGTCAAGTAAATGAGATAATATAATAAATACAATAATGAGAAAATCTCGGCTCTACTTTTTTGACTTACCTTTTGCACTTTTTAACCTTTCAACTGGATTCCGAAAGATGTCATCAGTTAGCTTAAGTCTTAGATAAAAAGTTCTTTTAGTCAACTAACAGCATTCCAGCTATTTACTTTAACTTGCGTATATATACACTTACATATATGCATACGTATATACGTATTTTAAGTTTCAAGTTAGGTGCCAAGACATTGCCGGAAGCCAATCAGCTCATTGTGCACTTGGCAACTAGTTCAAAAAATTAATGACCCACTTGAAAATCTTGTATAATATATTTATCTCTTGAGCTTGCCTCTAAATGCTATAAGAGCTTATCAACTCAAAGCAACTGATGTGTCAGTCACTGCCCTCAATAGCTGAATAAAATGCAGCGACTGCTGACTTCACACAACAACCGATGTAAACAAATCGAAAAGCTTTATTTCTAAAACTCAAATAGAGAGGCTCTCTGGGAGAGTCGTTGCTTATCTGGCAGAGTTTTCGCTCTGTGTGTTTCGCATATTTCTAAAAAAAATAAATTCGTTTCGCATAAGTTTAATTAAATAATGAAATTATTTATTTATTTCATATATGAAATAAATGCTAAGAAGTTAAAATTGTGTTTTTTGAAATTAGATTTATGTAAGGCAATAGAACTATCGATAGCACTAACCGTCTCACGCCCACAGTGGAATATATTTTTATTTTTTGAATGGAGAATTTGATTATTCAGCAATCTGGTGCGAATCAAATTTATTATACAAAAATCACACTTTGCAGTTATTTATTCTAAATACGTGAATATCTAAATAGATTTGGGCAATCATTCCATTGTTGATTTATTATATATTTTCGACGCAAATCAAAGACAATCCAATACAAATTAGCAGACGCACACACAGCTATCTCCATGTGTGTGTGTATTACGTTCGGTTTTCCCAATTGTATTAATCTTGTTTCCGCAACTGACAAGCGTACAGTCTGGGCAGGATGCTGGAGCCAGGCCTCAGACCGGCTTATTGCACACAGTCAACAAAAGACTTGTTCTGTTGGGGGCGTTGTGGGGCGTGGCATATTGCTTATTTGCACTGGCAAATAAAAGCATAAACTAATATTATGACTGCAAATAGAGCCAAAAGAAACGGACGCACACACAGCCATGCAAACGTACATATATATACATGACACTATATGTACGCGTGTGTATGTAGTATGTATCTAGATACGTACGTTTGCTTAACAACAATTGCTGTGCAGGCAGTTTGCAAGCCAGATGAATGATAAAAGCTGAATGGCAAACAAGCTAGTTATGTATACCCATTGCATATGCCTGAAACAAAGGGTATACTACAGCTATACGCGTGCATGTGATGGGCAGGGATACACCTGACTGCAGGGTATACGGTTGTGGGGTATTCGCGAACTATTTTAGTCAAGTGTGAATGCCTCGACGAACGTTTGCTTGTCCTTGGAGGCATATTAAGCAAATATTTCAATATATTCTATGTCAGCTCTGAATCTTATGCGTGTTCAAATAAATATTACATATTTATTTCCAACTACACTGGCATGGTCAGTAAGAGAAGAGGGAACTGAGATTATCTTCGAAATTGAATTAAATGTCTTAGTGCTTAATGCTTAAGTTATTAGTAAAGAAACAATAAAATATTTTCTTATACTCATATATTGCGCTATATATTTTCATTGCCTGTTTTAATTAATAGCCCTAATCTTTATTCCAACGACTTGTCAATATTGTGTTCTAAACTAATTGTTGAAGCTCGTTTAGAGCCCCTTTGACTTGTTTGTATGCAAAATGTTGGCAGACAGCCTTTCAAAGTTGTTAACATACTTTTCATGCATGTGTGTTTGTCTGTGTGTGTGTGTGTAGGTGTGCAGGTGTGCAGGTGTGCAGGTGTTTGCATACAAAGTTTCAGTTTTAGTTTTAGTTGCAGTCAAAAGCCCAAGCTCAGCGACTATCTCAGTTGGCAGAAAGAGCCAATACAAACTGTTTGCATACTCGACCAAACCGGCATCCATTCACCCATTCATCCATCCATCCATCCAGCCCTCCATCAAGCCGTTCGTTCATCTATCTATCCATCACTTTCATGACAGCATCTACAACTTGTTGTTGCTGCTGCTGTTTCGGGTGAGGCACACGATCAGACATCGTTGACATTTTAACTTTGTGTTAAATGGCAAAAACATTGTGCGGAAAAAAATGTCTTTTTGATACAAATAAACGTGAGGGTGCGTGGGGAGGGGCCAAGTGAGTTGGGTGTGGGGCAAAAAGCAATGCTGTTGGCCCGCATAAATGTTGGGGAAAAAGTTAAGCGCTCGGTTTTGCGGGATTATTTGCGTGCTTCAAAGGATGTCGCCACACTTTGGTCCTGCACGACTTTTTAGTTCTCTCTCTCTCTTTCTGTCTCTCTCCCTATCTACCCCTCCCCCTACATATTAATACTCGTTTTTTCTGATTCTTTTCCTTTATGGCTGCGGAGCTCTTTTATATGCAAGCTCAACTTTTATTGAATTTGCGAAATTGAATAAAAGGGTAACCCCATCAAAGTGTTGTCTAATTATGGCGCATTACTGCAGAAAACTGTGACGAGTAAGTAGATTTTGTGGATAGCTGACGAAATTACTTACATCTAAAACGGACGTAGTATTAATTGTGTTACTTGGGTTGCATCTTCTGCTGCTTATTCATATATGAAGTGAGAAAGTTGGGTATTGCAATTCGATTAATTTAATTTGAGGGGTTCCTCGGATTATCGAGCAATGCTTTATCAAATTTTCAAACAGGAAATACCAAGAGATCCGAGTTCTTAACAGGGCATTGGATAACAATTTTGCAATTTCCGGCGCATAGAGAACTTGGAATGATAGCGTTTTTGGCATTTTGGGGTAATTGCAAAAACGTGTTATTTGCTGCCTTTGGTAACGCACCAGGATGTCAGACTCGCTGGCAACTGGCAACTGGCAACAATTTATGCTCAGCTGGAGCTGCACCAAAATCGAGCAGCTGCAACGCCCGATACTTCAGTAAACATAAATTTATTTATGAGCATGTGGCTGTGTCACGCCCTCAAGCTCCTACGGCCCACTCCCACACTCTTGCTCGCGTATGCCGTTTGAGTCTGGCTGGTGGCCCCGGCTGCTGGTCGTCTCGTAGCTACTTCCGCCGCGCTTACAAATTGTTTGAGGGCGAATTTTAATTATTCTTCATTGTTTTGTTAGCAACGCGTGTTGTTCGCTCTCAGCTCTTTCTCCCCTGCTGCATGTGGCACTATTTTGCCAACGCCTGCAGCAAAAAAAAACAACAACTGCCGCATCGTGACCTCAGCGCGACCCGAGCGCTCGTTCATTTAGATTTGGCGCTCCAAAACGGTCCCCATGTTCTCTTCTGATGCGCTGACAACTCGAGCTTTGAGGTGGCAACGAATCGGCGTGGGCTCCACTGCTGACCTAGTCGCAAAAACAATTATTCTTTTGTCTTTTTCCCCAAGAGCTCGTCCGTGCTACAGTTTTGCTGAGGCAGCTCCTTCTGAAGATCCGGTTAGCTGCAACTGACTTCAATTTTGTTTTCGGTGGTTTGGCCGGAGCACCGGATTATGATTGGATTAGACGATTGTTCAAATTGAAATCCTGTAGTATTCGAATGATCGAATATGAAAGCTAAGATATAATATAACTTAAGTTAAACTGAGATAGGCGTGGTGTCAAATATCTTTAGGAATTCTTGATTTGTGTAATTCGAATATATAATTGCCATAGATACATTATGTACCCTTTGCCCACGTGGAAGATGTGATGAGTCCTTCTGAATTCCAGCTGGATTAACTGACTATTCTTAGATGAATACAATATATGTAGGCATAAGAAATAACTGAAATTATGCTCATACTAAAGAACTTTGAGCATTTGCAATCTTTTAACCGAGTCGTTCGCTCAACTTGACGATTCTCACGGGCTTCTTTGCTAAGAGCATTTGTAATTATATAGACAACGCAGTCCCAGCTGCAGCCATCGAGCTCTGAAGATAGTTTCGTTGACATTTTGCGTTGGCTTATCGCTAGTTTTCTGGCGTCAAAGCTCAACGAGAACTTCAGATTGGGAAGTTGAGAGGTGATGAGAGAAAGCTGGCTGCATGACTGAGTTTTATTATTGAAATTTGTTTGTGTTGACTTTGTAGTTGGCGCTGCTTTTGGCAGCGCATCCCTTTTTGTAATTAAATGCAGATGAAAGTTGAAATCAGGTCACTCATACGCCCCGCTCTTCTGCCTCTTGCAACAAGCTGAACTTTCAAATTAATTTTTATAAATAGCTTTTAAAATTATTATACTGACTGCCTGGAAAATTTTGGCTTGTTCGCAGCTGCAACTAACGCTAGTTGCCAAGTGTTCCAGTTGCTGGCATTGATTGGTCCTCTTGCCCAATTTTAATTAATTTGTCAACTCTGAAAGTAAAAAATGGACCAAAGGTGGGCAATTCTTGCCAAACAATGGAGCAATTTATCCGCCTTAAGAAATGCCACGCAGCTAGAGTAAAATGCTCCCGATTATAACCCTTTAAAATACATTTCTATATATATAAATAACTAATTTGCTAGAGTTTATGTTTTAAATACCCAAAAAGTAGCTGAAAGTGGTAGTCATATTAATCAGTCGATTGCATATAAGCTCAGAGTAAACAAGGCGAATACTTTGAAAAGTCGATGAAGCTATTTTAGCTCTTAAAAAATTGTTTCATTGATGCTTGACATGTATTAAAGTATGCATTTGATCTCTTAACTTTGGCTCCAGTTTTCCAATTAACATAGTTTTGAGTATTTTTATTAGCCAAATGATCTATAAAGAAATACATGGAAATTTTTGGCTTGGCACGAACTTTCCGTGCACTTGCAGCATTTCAAAATAAAATAAAAATATGAATTATAAAATGGATAAATAAATTTCACAACACAATTTTCTAGCGCGGCGGGCAGCTGGCCACAGCCTCTAGCTGTTGCTGTTGCTGTTGCTGAGGCAACTGTGGAACGTGGTAGATTATGCTGTATTATCACCTGTAATTCCTTATTGGCAATCAAAACTTTGTCGCATGCAGCACGTCCTGAGCGCGGCGAACAGGAACCGTCGTTGGCGTCATCGTGGCCTGCCTTCCACAATGTTATCGGATTTTCTAGTTTCAATAAAAAGCGAAATCTGCGCATGCAGCCAAACTTTTAATTTTATTGGTAAGCTTGCGGCCACTCCCCAGGTCCTTCGACTGGACATGGCACCTAGCTGCCGCCAATGGGCAACAGGGCGTATCAATTGGCGGCCAACGTTTCGCAGCCTTTATATAACGCACATGGCTGCTCTGAGAGTTAGCGAAAACTTTGAAGTGGTGTTCTTGTTTCAAGTGGAATTACAAGCTAGAAACTTAAACAATTGATGGAATATATAAATTATATAAATAATATAATATATAAATATGTTAGATTTGCTTAGGTAAAACTGAATCAGAATTAATATTAAAATATTAATCAGATCCGATTTTTGGTTAAGCAATCAGGCTTAACTTCCAAGCGGAAAGCTTCCAGGTTTTCAAGTGTAACTAAATAAATAAATATTTATAAGCATACTTTCAGGCGCACGTAAAAAAGTCGAACTTAGCGGACAATAATAATCAGCTAGTAAGCAAGCAATTAATAAGCATCTACATTACATATATTTCTTATCAGCTATGGTTAATGTAGGCTTTCAATAACAAAGTGTTTGACTGGCTTTCCATATGTAGTTCAAGCTTGATTGAAAAATACTTAACAAACAGCAGACTCACAAATAACTTTGATTGCACTTTCTTAATAATCTCTCACATTGCCAGACTTGGAATGCAACCAGCCAGCTCTTTACACTAATTAAGTAGAAAAAAGGGGAAAGTAGAGCAATGAAAAATAAATAAGAAAAACTTTGTACGAATGGCTCAACAATGCTGGGCTATTCATGATAGTTCAGGCTCGTTGCGAGCAGCAAGCTGCAACGAGAAACTAGCAACCAGCAACCAGCAGCTCCTTATGTTTTCAGTTGCCTTTGTTTTGTGTAACTGGAATTAAAACTAAGCACTTCACAGCACACAACGCGCATAAGGAGCAGACAGAGGAAGGACAACAGAGAGTGAAAGAGTGATAGACTGAGGGAGAAAGGGGAAACAAAAGCTACATAGCTTGGTGTTGTTTTGGCCAAACCAGAAATGTACTTCAAAAATCGTAAAATTGAAATTATAATTGCAACTGCAACTGATTCGAAACGCTTTTTGTTCTTCCACCATTGTTGCCAGCAGGGGCTGCGGAGATGCAGTGGGCGTGGCAATAGGGGAGTTCAAATATAAGTGGCTGTTACTTTCACGTTGGCTAGGCCAACGTCTGAAATCGACGCTCCACGTCTACCCTGATTCCTGCACTCTGTTCTCTGTTGTCTGCCAAAAAAGATTGTTCTAATTATGGTCTTAACTTGCTGCATACTTAAAATGCTTGTCAAATAATAATTACTCGGAAAGCGTTTGCCAGTTATGAAAATGAAATACGCCTCGAAATGTGTTTTCTTTATATTTTTTTGCTCTATTTAAATTGCAGATGTTCTTGTTAGCCCAGCTAGCAAGCGCTGTTAGCTGAATATTTCTGGGCACTCAGTTCATGTTCCGATTAACATCCGCACTGAGCACGAACAGTGACGCCACAGCAGGTTCTCGCTTTTTCTCTCTCTTCCTCTCTGCGTGTCCTTAAGCCTGAATCCTTGCCAAGTGCATGTGGCATGCCGGATGTGGTGACATTTTGGTAAGCGCACAAAAATTTCGACATTTTCACAAAAGCGAACATCGGGAATGCGCGCCGTTAGCACTTTGTGTGTGCGTCCCATATTTGTTGTGGCTCTTCTTATTTCTTTTCTACGCTTTTCTATATTTTGTGCCATATATTTTTGCTAAATATTCAAAGAGTTTGCTCGTTGTCAGTTCTTTTATGCCATTGAATTTGACAGTCTATGGCCAAACGTTTATTTGGACTTCATGCTGGCTTTGCCCAGTAATCGATCTATATATATATATATATATATATATATAAATATACATATATCGAACGTGATGGTTAGTTTATTTTGCTGATTTTTTGAATATACAATCCTGAATGTATTATAAATTATTTTCGGTAGCAGCTTAAATACTTTGTTTTAAATTAATTGAAATGTCAGTTTCGATTTCATAAAGTCTGTTTTGTTTCTAAAATAATAATTTTTTATTTGAGAATTGATATACCTGATACTGAAATCGAGTCTAGCTGTTTTGGATAGAGAGAGATTTAACTCCTTTTTTTATTGTGCTTTGAGTGAGGCAACTGTGCTGATTCTAACCTATGGTTTGAGAAACTCATTTATAACTTAGCAACGAATAAGTCGTTTACTCTTCTTTATTTTCCTAGATATCCTAGTATTATTTGGAAGGAAGTCCTAGTAATATTCCTTGAAGTTTCATAGCAATCAGTTATTTGTAATTAACATGTGACAAAATAAAGTTAATTTAGACTTGAAACTAAAGGAATTAAAGTAAATCTGTCAAATTGTCAGGTTTCTTTATCACCTTCAGGACTTCTTGTTGCCTTCATTATATCCTTCTCCCTGTCTTTCTCTCTCGTTCTCTCTTACTCTGGCTGTTTCTTTGCCTCTTCCTTGCCAGATAATTGCGTATGTGAAATTATTTTTAAGCACGAGGTAGCTGTAAATTGCAGCAAAGCCAATTGGGTATGTTTGAAAATTGTTTTGTGTACGCAACAGCAGACAAGATTGGAATATTGCAATGCACAGAGTAAAGGGGCAATCGGGACATAAAGAGAACAGGCGGATACAGAGACAGTAAAATATACTTAGGATGTTGCCCCCTCATTGCACGGGCACAAGTCGCTTCTTATGCAAGCAGCAGTTGCAGAGAGACATGACAACAGCAACGGATTTCGATTACTTGGGTGTGTGTGTCTTTTACACACACACACGCGCCCACACACAGACACACACACGCACTCAGACACAGACACACATTTTCTCTGTGGTTTAGAGGAAGCTGCAGCAAACGTGTTTGTTGTATGCAGCTGATTGCAAAGGATTTTATGGTTGCCAATGGTATTGTTGTTGGTGCTGCTGCTGCTGCTAGTAGTGCTACTGCTGTTGCTGTCGCTGACGATGACGACAATGCAAAAATACACAACAACAACAACCACAACAGCGACCGATCGCAGTAGGCAAAAGGGGCAGCTGATGCAACGCTCTTAAGTGCAGTCGGTTGGCACACAAGCCGTGATAGGGGCAGCTGGTGTATATACGGAGGACACTGCGTTGTTGCCACATAAGGTGTCGCTGCAGCATGCAGAACATGAGCCCATGACAACAGCAGCAGCAGCAAGAGCAGCATTCGAAGTAGCCGTAAAATGCCAACATCAGCATTACAACCGGCAATTGCTGCTGCGGATTTGCAGTTTAATGTCGATGCTATCGAAATGGAATTCTGAAACTAGAAAGACGTAGCTGCTGAACAATGTATGTGTTGTTGTTGTTGTTGCAGTAACTGTGCCACAGCTCTGATTAGCCTAGGCCAATTGCCAAGGCGTTTGCATAAGGATGCTCTTCCCAAATGAAGCGTTTCATTAAAGTTGACTTTAAGCGCTCAGGTAATAGCCAGAAGTGTATACTCCATGCAATTTTCATTTAAAGCGAGCAAGTAATTATTTTTCAGATAGAAATGCCAAGTTTTTGCTACACTCGATTGAAATGTATCTACAATATGTACAGACGTTTTTGATGTTAAGGCTTCAAAAGACCTCACTGCCTCTCTATTGTCTACCTACTTCTATCAATTTGTCTAAAAATATTGTATATTCGCTTTCTATTCATATATACATATACATATTTATTCATATCGATTCTTTAATGGAATACAAATATTTAATCAACAACATCAGCTGCATGTATCTAATTCTCGAGAGTTAGCCAACCCCCTAGATTCTGCCTATCTCCCGAGCTCTACATATGTAGTCAGGGATATCAGCAAAGCTCTATTGATATTTGCAGCAGTTGTAGCTAAACAAGTTCTGGTCACATGTTAGCAAAAAGTAGCGGAAAATCAAATGGTTTCACGTGCCACAAATGAATTCCGTTTCCCACTCATCTCTTACACATATCCTCGCATACATATACTCCTTTGTTGTACATCGACTTCCAGCGACAGCCCCGATGTTGTTTTTGTTATCAGACGCATTGATTTGATTTCAAAGCTTGCAAAGCATTTACATTTGCCCGCACAGCTCTACGGCTATGTGTGTGCTCGTTAACAAAAGATACTTACATATGTATGCATTGTATCTTGCAGATACTTGCTGGCAGTTGCCTCTGTGTTTGGTGGGGCTTGTGCCACGTTTTCTTTTATTCTTCTTTTGCTTGGTTAGATTTAAATGCCGAAATTTCAATGCTGCACACATCACGACACCGGCACGTCGTCTGCCCCGCCTTTGAAGACATATGCACAGTATCCTACACCTCTCTGCCAGGGGTATATCTAAATCTATATGTGCACGTGTGTGTGTAGTCGACTCACATGCGGGCATACGTGAAAGTGTAATCACTTGTACTTAATATGCAGATGATGACAATGTGACAATCAAAATGGTTCCAGGTCGCTTACCTAACCCCGTCTGCTAGACACTTTTGCTTTCTCTCTGTCTGCGTCTCGGTCTGTCCTGATCTCTCTGTGTATTCGTGGAGGATGACGTTATGGCAATCTGATTATTATTATCATCGTTAGAAGTAATGCTTCTACTCCGCGCATGCAAATCGGATTTCCCTGCGCTGATTTCCTACAGGCATCAACACATTAGGCCACTCCCTCAAAGCACTTTGAATTCTAAAAAGGCAATTTGTTTTTATTTTTATGATATGTATTGTGTGCTTATGCAATATTTCGAGCTCTAAAGAAGGCGGAATATCCAGTGAGATATAATTAACAATTGCTTTAGCTTCGTTCTCATAATTGGATAGCTTTCGCAGATTAACAGATTAATTGAATTCAAAGATCTTATATAGACTTATAAGCTATAAATGTCACAGCAGCTCTCTTTAAACCAATTCGTAAGCCGAATCCAGCTCGTGTGTGGCTAAATACTTTTATTCTCACTCATGTTAATCTTGCTCACATTTATCAACTCACTTCATGAAGTGATAAACTGCTGCAACAAGAAAAGTTGTTCATAAAAAATGAACAGCTTGGAACGTGAGTGTGTGTGCGTGTGTTAAGAATACAAATGTGAGAAAAACTGTTTTTTCCTTCTTTTTTATAAAAAAAGCAACACCCACACATAAGCGAGGCAGAAGACCGAAAAAACTGTTGATGAAACTGCAGAAACATGCTCCACGCGTTGTTCAGCTGCAGTGCAACAGCAGGCGGCGTGTTAATGCAGAAGGGGCAACAACTACAACAACAATAACAATGACCCTCGACGGCAAGTGCCAAACTCGTGATGAACTGAAGCTGAAGCTGGGGCCGGTCAGTGGTCCTCGAAGTGGTGGGCTCGCATTCATCACGTCAAGATTTACAGACGGCCGCACGTCGCGGGCGCATTTCATGTTCTCCTTTGAGCCTTTTGCCTTTGGTCTTTTATGGCCCAACAACAAGGAGGGAACAAGGAGAACGCCCTGTGCTTTTTCTTTTAACGTCACTTTTAACGTCAGGCATTGCCCTAATGAGGCAAGTCGTTGGTTGCGCCCTGCCACGCCCCCCACTCTATGGGCGCTACTAGCGCCTTTTTTTTTGCTTTTGCTTGCTTGACCATCATTTTAAAGCGAGTCAAGTGGTACTCGCTTTGATAAGTGCCAAGCTGGCTAGTTCACAGATAAACATACAAAAAGACGTGAGGGACAACTCGAAGGTGAACTTTGTTAAGTGACTGTAGAGGAAGGTTTTGAAACTTTTTCATATACGTTTAGCTTAACCGTGTACCCTTCTTGTGCCCTTTAATAATATGTTTTAAATGTAATTCTATTCAATTGGTATTTGTAACAGTCATAAAATACTTTTAACATTTCACTAGATACTTCTGGCTATTGTATCTGAACATTTGTTACAAATAAATTGATATTTTTGCCTTTGGGTGCTTGCATTTAATTGGCATTTGTTTTGCTTGCTTATGTTACGGTTGCAGTAAGTTTTTGGTCATGCTTTTTTATGCGTAATGCCCACATATGTTGCCATGTTTAATTGCTTTATAAAGCCGCAAAGCAAATGCTACCCGAGCATTGCCAAGAGATAAACACAGACAAAGAAATAAGCCCACACTCTCATTATGGTATTTAGCTGAACATGAGCGCGGCAACAAGGCTACACAAAAACGGATACATACGCATACACATTACACCCGCACACACAGAGACAAAGATGAAGACAACAGCGCGAAAGGCAATTTTAACTTTTGTGTATACCTCATGGAAAAGTACTTTACATTGTTGCTGTGCCATAGAAATTCTCTGCGAAGCTCATTTAAAACACTTGTGTCCTTTCTGCAGTAGATTACGAATAGACTGCGCATATGCTGCGTTGCGGTTCCCTCATTAGCAACAAAAAAAAAACAGCAACAAAAAAACAATAACGGTTAAACATTTCAATATTATTAAAAACTTATTCAGGAATTCAATTTAATTTTTATATTCTACTTGCATTGAAAAAATATATGTATGGCACCTTATAAGCAAACTGAATGCGTTCGTCCAACTTCTTGCTCAGAAACACGGTAAATAACTTCATCCAGGCTTCTGGGCTAATATAGACAACATCAGCCGTAATATTCAATAAAATGCGCTCTATAATGGTCATATCATAGATGCGAAAGAGCACGAGAAATAAATTGTACATCTGCTTCTTCTTCATCTGCTTGGCATTTGGTCCGTTGATCTGCACGAATTTGTAATAAATAATTAGAAGACACACAACTTCAGTGTTAGTAAACTGTGTTGTCGTGGTAAACTGTTTAATTAAAGTACTGTAGAGTGTCAGGAATTTGGTATTGGCCATGTCATCCATGGTACTATCGATACGATTCATCTTGGCGTCTTTTGTGATATTTAATTTTTCCAAAAATATATTATAAATGGGCTCTTGTTTCAACAGAGCTTTATATTTTAAAACCTATACAAATAAATATATATGTATAATTGAAGGTTAGATTCTTAGAAACGCGTACTCGGCATTGGCTCTGGGATTTAGCGAATTCGGCCAAACTCCCCATTTGGATTGGCTTATACTAAAAACTGAGGAGTACCAGGCAAGAACAGCATCCGTTCCAGACTTAGACTATAAACAATTTGACCAACTCGAACTATGTCGACGTTATGAATTGTATATTTAAATACACTATTTATATATATTTAAAAGGCATGTTTTAGCCAAACGTTGACTTCAGTACAATGATTTGTTTTCTGCATCAGCCTGAGCCTGATCTTGATCGGCTGCATCGTCAGGACCAGGCAAAGCAGCGCTCATGCAGCAAGATGCCAAGATAGCAAGCACAGCAGTGAATAGGATCTGTAAGTAGAAGATTCCAAATTAAGATTTTAACTTGCGAGAGAGCAAGCGAATTTGAATGATCACCAGTTTCATATTGATTGCAGTTTCCGTCGAGATGGATAAGAATTGGGTTTAGGTTTTCCATTTTATACCTTTTTGAAAGCATGACGGCAACGAATCGTAGTAGCTACGCGTCTACGGAATGCATCGATTTCACAAAATAAATTTCCTTGACTCCGTTTCTGACACGAGCAAAACAAATAGATGAAGTTTAACATCTTTATTGGGTGGAACATCAGTATTACGAAATTTTTTCATTTAATCTTTCTAGGAATAGTTTCCAGTATGGTTCTATTAGGATCTGCGATCGACGTGTTCAGTCATATAGACAGAAGAAGCGAAGGACATCTCAGCTCATTGTCCTGAACATGCATATATACTCTTTATGGCGTTATGATTACAGCATCCAAGCTAATAGCTGTGCACCAAAGCTATATCTATCGTTTTACGTACTAAACGACTATACAATTCCATAATTATTGAAAATTATCATTCTAGTATTTAGTGAATAAGTATTTTTAATTGAATGTGGGGAGTAGAAACTCATACACAAGAAAATGTCATTTGAGTGTGTTATTATTGATAATATATGTATAGAGATTAGCTAGATTGATTGACAAGGCTATTCGGCGCAGGGCTTTCTCCAAGTATAGAAAACTCTATTGAAGCAGTTGTGAGAGCCATCCGTAAGGCGCAAAGTCTTTAATATTTCCCTTGTCCGGATCGGCATTTAGAGGCCCATCTTGTGCCTCCGCAACGCGGAGAACATGCAGCGGGTAAATATATAACAAATATATTTAAATATTATTAATGTAAATTTTTCTTATAAGCTTTATACGAATAACTTATAATTTATATGAACATTTATATATATTAATAATAAATCAGGATTGGTTGAGTATAATAATACTATTTACAACTTGCATTACATGTGATAGATTGAAACAATACATTTTTCAGATACTTACAAAAGCCACCAAATCGAATTAAAATATTCACTTAATGAAATTTGACATTCAGCCAGATTTTATGTTCATCTTGAGGTCGCAACAACACATGCCCCTGCCTCGCTCCTGTCCCGACTAGGAGATACAATGATCCCAGTCCTATCTGCGTTTTTTAATATTTTCCGTAGTTTGTACCAATTAAAAAAAAAAAAATAAAAACTTACATTACGACACCAAGATTCGAACCCAAATTGTTTACGCAACGTGCATTAACTCTACCAACACCGCCACCTCAATTAAAACACAATAAAAATGTCTCCTCCCTGCGGAGCTCGAACCATTGCTTACGAGCGTCGTCTCTACCAACACTACCACTCCACTGCTTCCTAAATGAGTTGCTAGTTTGAATTTGAGTAGCAACTGATAATTCAAGCAGTATTCAATCGCAATTTCGATTCTTCGAATAGAAAAGTATACTCCCATTTGGATGTATATGTGCACATGCATAGGAAAAATGCGTGCGCGTGGCGCTGCTGACATGTGCTTTTGCAAATTGGTCAAACGTTTTCTTTAATAACTTCTGTTCTACTTAATGGATTTCAATGATCTACATATCCTATTGGCTTTGTTCAGATGCAAATGCCTTCACATAATAGCCCTATTTCCAACTGAACTTATATTTTAAGAATTTAGAATTTAGAGCCGGTATCCAAAATCCAGCAAAACCAAAATTGTATAAAATATACATAAAACTAATTTGGAGGCTCTAGCTTTTAAGACGTCCGAGACATTATTTATTAACTGCATTTCAATCATGTTTTTATTCGATAACAATTAAATGCGAATAGTTATCGAATTTGAATAAATTTGAAATAAACTCCCTATGCGCGTCGGTGTATAGGATCCTGATCAAGAATATATATACTTTATGGGGTCTGCCACGGCTCCTTCTGCCTGTTACCTATATTTGCAAAAAAACCATTACACCTTGATTTTCCATTTTCAATGGTGTCTGGGTATAAGGAAAACAATATTATTTCAATATTATTAAAATCTTATTCAGGAATACAATTTAATTTTTTTTTGACATTCTTTAATTACAATATTTCAAATTTAAAATTGTTAATGATCCTCATACACTATAGCCTTTTTTTTGCCTACCATACAATATCCTGCTTGGGACAACTGTAATACGTGTGATTCGCTCAAAGTTAGCCTACCTGCAATTCCTTTCAACTCTGCCTACATTTATGACCCCATGTACATGCTGCGAACAGGATGATGGTACTGTTAGACAGTGCACAGCAGCCTCACATGTATGGGAGCACATTGAAACTTGAGAAAATAAACTTATTGAATGCTAATCTCCATCGGGAAAGAGAGTTGCAATATTTGTGCAATATGCGATTACAGTTATGTCCGACAAATCTGGAAATATCTGTCCGAGAAATTCTAACAAAACCGGCTGATTAGTAACAATTTCGTAATATTCCTCATATGAGATAACACCATCCTTGTCCAAGTCAAATTTGCCGAATATAAACTCTAGCATATCCTGTAAGATATCTGCTCATATAGTATATTCTACTGGCTTACTATAGTTTCCTACGTACCGCCTGCAGCTCCTTGATCTCATCGTCATCTTCACCTACAAAGAATTTTTCGATTGCCATGCCAACAGTTTCACGATTCAGTACGCCAGACGTGGACGTAGTGTAGACCTGATTTTTCAGATATACAAAATATATACAATGCATTGAAAAAATGTATGTATGGCACCTTATAAGCAAACTGAATGCGTTCGTCCAACTTCTTGCTCAGAAACACGGTAAATAACTTCATCCAGGCTTCTGGGCTAATATAGACAACATCAGCCGTAATATTCAATAAAATGCGCTCTATAATGGTCATATCATAGATGCGAAAGAGCACGAGAAATAAATTGTACATCTGCTTCTTCTTCATCTGCTTGGCATTTGGTCCGTTGATCTGCACGAATTTGTAATAAATAATTAGAAGACACACAACTTCAGTGTTAGTAAACTGTGTTGTCGTGGTAAACTGTTTAATTAAAGTACTGTAGAGTGTCAGGAATTTGGTATTGGCCATGTCATCCATGGTACTATCGATACGATTCATCTTGGCGTCTTTTGTGATATTTAATTTTTCCAAAAATATATTATAAATGGGTTATCCTAGGTTGTTGTGTGTGTTTACTATGAGAGAAACATAGGCCTACTTTTTGTTTCAACAGAGCTTTATATCTTAAAACCTATATCAATTAATATATATGTATAACTGAAGGTTAGGTTCTAGAAACGCGTACTCGGCATTGGCTCTGGGATTTAGCGAAATCGGCCGAATCCCCCATTTGGAGTTCCAGACTTAGACTATAAACAATTTGACCAACTCGAACTATGTCGACGTTATGAATTGTATATTTAAATATACTATTTATATATTTTTAAAAGGCATGTTTTAGCCAAACGTTGACTTCAGAACAATTATCTCTGGGTTGTCTGCATCAGACTGATCCTGATCGGCTGCACCGTCAGGACCAGGCAAAGCAGCGCTCATGCTGCAAGATGCCAAGAGAGCGAGCACAGCAGTGAATAGGATCTGTAAGTAGAAGATTCCAAATTAAGATTTTAACTTGCGAGAGAGCAAGCGAATTTGAATGATCACCAGTTTCATATTGATTGCAGTTTCCGTCGAGATGGATAAAAATTGGTTTTAGGTTTTCCATTTTATACCTTTTTGAAAGCATGACGGCAACGAATCGTATTAGCTACGCGTCTACGGAATGCATCGATTTCACAAAATAAATTTCCTTGACTCCGTTTCTGACACGAGCAAAACAAATTTTTAAGAGCTATTTGGACGCGAACTAGATGAAGTTTAACATCTTTATTGGGTGGAACATCAGTATTACGAAATTTTTTCATTTAATCTTCCTAGGAATAGTTTCAAGTGTGGTTCTATTAGGTTCTGTGATCGACGTGTTAAGTCATACGGAGAACATGTAGGTAAATATATAAGAAATATATTTAGATATTATTAATGTAAATTTTTCCTGCCTATAAGCTTTATACGAATAACTTATAATTTATATGAACATTTATATATTATATTAATAATAAATCATGATGTGGAATAACAATATTAATACAATATTATTTACAACTTGCATTACAAGAGATAGATTGAAACAATTACATATTTCAGATACTTAAAATATTCACTTGATGAAATTTGACTTAAAGCCAGATTTTATGTTCATCTTGAGGCCGCGAATACGCAATTCTATAAATGAGGTGGAGTAATCCACATTCTGCTAGGGTTTTGTTGTCAGCTTACAAGTATTTTGTGGGGACTGGGTAGTAAAGGCGTGGCTGTCACCCTAAAACAGAAAGAAAATGTAACGAGCACAATTTAAACGCAATAAAAACGAAGCAAAGACATAAAAAATACATCAGAGTCCTCATGCACTGCTCTATGGCTGTGTGTGGGGCCATTTTTGTTTTTGAAATAAATATTTCAATGGAAAAATGTTTAAAGCCGTGCGCATGAGAAATGCGAATATAATAATCCATGCCACGCATCAGCCAGAAGCATGCGAAGGCTGCGAAAGACTTCAACTGGAAATTGGCGGAAATGGTTGTGCAGCCATTTTGTTTTTTGGAGTAACAAATATTACCAGCCTTTTGGGGCCCGACTGTTGTAATTGTATGCCACACATGCTGTCATACATGCGGCTTTACAACACATGCCCCTGCCTCGCTCCTGCCTTCCTTGCACCCCAACCCCCTCTACGACACGGCGGCATAACAATAAAAAAAAAGATTCCCGCGCCTTAATGTCGGCAAGTTGACAACACGGAGTGTTAGCGGATTTACAACACAACCACAACACACACATAACACATAACACACTTCACACAGCCCAGAAGCACAAGGACAGACACAGGCACAGTCACGCATATACGCATACAGAGAGGTAGATATACATTTGTATTAAAGCCAAAGGATTTTTATTGTGCTTTTCGAACGGTTTTGATTGATACATTTTGCATTTGGTCTTTTAAAGGGCTTACATCGCTATTTCTTAAGCATGACAAATTGTTTAGATTTGTTGCTTTAATAATTTAAGAAACTGCTATTTTATTTAGATATCCATCTAATTGACTTGATCCCAAATTGATTCTGACTTCATTCGATGCTTTGGGCTTACCACAAAAGCCGAGCAACTCGGGTAATTATACCGTTGGTGGCCAGCATATTGCACTCAACCTAATTATTCAAACTGCTCATCGACATGTGTATGCCATATTATATAGCTGCTTGATTTACATTTATATATGCGAATATACATGGCTGGCACCTGGCTTGCGGTAAAGTCGGTTAAGTGGCTCATTAACGTCAATTCATTCAATCACTCGATTCAAATGCATCAATACAAAAGGTGAAGCTCATATTCGTGCCAAGGCTGTTGTGTATTTTAAATAATATGTAAGCATTAATCGATTTTTAAGCTAGAGTTACAGAATGACCGAGCATTAGCAAAGAGCCGGACAAATAAAAAATAAGTGAGGAAGCCTTACTTCGGAGTGGCCGCCTAGCAGATACCCTGAACTCACACTGTATATAATGGAATATAATGTACACGCACATGGAAGTGTATGCACTTCAGAAGAGAGAAAACGTACTTCTATGATTATAACTTTTTATTGATTGCAGCTTCCGAATGAGGGGATAAAATTTGGTTTAAGGTATTTAATCTTAGACCATTTTGAGAGCATAACTGCAACGAATTGGATTTGCTACGCGTTTACGTAATATATCAATTTCACAACAAAAATTTCATTGGCATCGTTTCTGACACGAGCGAAACGACTTATAAAAAAATTTGTATCGGAACTAAATCATGTGGAACATCGTCATAAAAAATAAACTTAGGAGTTTGACTTTTACTAGTTAATGCAATTCCAACAAGACTGTCTTATATATATATTTATATAAACATGTATTTTACTTATTATAATTGAAAGCGTCTCATGCTTAAATATTATGATTTCAAGCCAGCTTTTAAAATAGTACTTAATTGGAAAATTATCCGCTTATTGCTCACACTCTTCATGTTATTGCTGTTAAGGTCAACACTCAATAAATATGCTTTAAGCTGCGTGTGCCTTAAAATTGTTTTAATTGAAGTGTGTATAGAGATCTGGGTTCGTTGAACGATTGCCGCACTTAAATGGACAATGTTTAATTAATCCCCTTGAGTATGACACAAGCCCCTAGGAAGTAGTTTGGTAGCGACTATCAATGGCCAGTTGAGTTTGAAAAGCAAACAAGCAATTTGGCTCGAGATACAATGCAAACTGTGCGGAAAAGTCAAACTCAACTTTGGTGAACAGCAATTTTCGATTAAAATTCCAGATGGCGATTCAATTAAACACTAATTAAAAGACATTTTTCCACCGCTCGCAGCTGGCACAGCTAACAGCCTTTTGATATGTCCCCTTAACCAGTCTCAGAGCTCAGTTGCCAGTTCGCAATTCGCAGTTCGCAGCTCGCACTTCGCACTGCTCAGCACTCGTTGACTATTGGACAGCTGAGCTGTCAGCCTGGCAAAGGACTCTGTGCTCTGCAAAGACTGCCAACAGGATAAGGCAGTCGACAAATGTGAAGCATCAGTGATAGATGTGGGTGTGGGTTGGCACCAGCTATGACGCAATGAATGTCATAAAGGAAGTTAAGAGAAAAAGAAGGAGCAAAATCAAAGGCAAAGTTTTTGCTGCATTTTGCTTGCCTTTGCAACTCATGCGTCGCTTTTTTTCCGCTGCTACTGCGAACGGGATAATTTTTTTGCACCCGGTGAAGCTTTTCTTTCACCACGTTTATCACGTTCAAAGTAAATGGTATAGCGGCATCTGAATCATTCGCTTAAATGGAAATCTAAACAAGAACAAAGTAAAGGCAAATTTAGTAAAGTGAAACGTTGTAAAAGGAGTGCTTAGTTTCGTCGACAAGTTAATTAAGTTTGTGCTTTAATTTAGTTGAAGCGACAGCACATATATAACATTTTTTTAAGGGAACTCTTTAAGCTTTAAAATTAATCCAAGCAGAGGAAATGCTCAAGCCGCGTAGCCTTTTTGTTAAGCAATTCGCTTGCTATTGCTTCTACATCTCTTTTAATAAATTCTCAAGCAGCCAATAAAACATTGATGCTGCTCTTGCAAAAGTGTGCTAATATTTCAGATAAACTATTGCACAACTTTATGCATTTTGCTAGTAGTTGCGAAATCAGTTCTTATGGCTTCTGCTGAAATTATCTGTGGGCTAGCTGAGTCTCAAGCTTCTGCTGTTTCTGCCAATCACCTGTTCAGCTCTCGAAGCATGTCAAAAACATTGGCTAATTATAAATGTTTTATAAGTAATTTAGCCAAGCGCGTAATTTTATACGGTCGTCACATTGAATGATGCAAGACGCTGACAAAAAGGCGGTACAATTTTCCGGTTGCTTGGATGCATCAAGGCGTTGTCGCCGTGACAGAGTTGTCATGGCCAGCCGAGTACAAAATATCGAATGACACGCTGTCGGTAAACTACTTAATTGCATATCCCTCTAATTAGCAAAGTTTCTTACGACGTCATAAATAACTCAGAGCTGATGCTGCTGCGCTTGTGTCCAACGGCTGCTACAGCTGCCAAAGCGCCACTTCTTTTTGGCTGCAACATTGGTTTGCATATCATTTATCGCTATGCTAACACTGACTGCGATAGAAATTTATAATGCGGCGTTAGCAAATTATTTGTCGACCGCCTTCAAACTTTTAATCTTGAGTGAACAATTTGGGCCAATGCGAACTCGGCAAAAGCTGTTGCTGGCTAATGCCATAATCGGCTTTGCGATTGAAAATTCATAGAATTAATTTTTGTTGTAGAAAAAAAGAAGCGAAAGCGGGCACAAATAATAATGGCCCAAAAGCGCGAACGTGATCGAAGCAGGCCAAAAAGCCCAACCTCAATTCCAATCCGGGCCCAATTCGCATAAATTTCAACTAATTACAATTTCAGTGTCCGGTGCACACAATCAATGGAAAACCCATAACAATTACAAATACAAATAAAAGGAAATCTGAACCCAAAAAAAAAGGAGGGAATACCAAGGCACACACACACATATGCAGAGCGGGCACAGATGACGGTTATGGCCAGCGCGCTTAATGGCTGGACGTGAGTGTAGGGCTAAGAGTGTGCTGGCCTGAACATGCTCTATATGGCCATTTTGTGGTCATGGCCGGGCCAATTGCCAGAACAACAACTATAGCAACTGCTGTGAGGGCGCGTTGGTGCGTCTTTTGTATTTGTGTTTGTACTTTTGGCTTTGTGCGGTTAAGCCCTGTTGGACGGCGCGACCACAGTGAAAACTCATTAATTTATTCTTCTCGTTCGTTTGTTGAACTTAAAATAACAGCGTTAATCCGCTTAGCGCCGCCATTGACTAAAACAACAACAACAACAATGTCGAAGCTCGCGCTGAAGCTGAAACTAAAGCAGAGGTCCTGCTGCTGCGGTTAGCTGCCATGATATTCAACTGAATCGTGGATGCGGACAATGACTCTGACGAGGCGCTGCAAACAAAATGAATTAAGGCAACCGCAATGACATAGTTACAGTGGCATAAAACGCCATCCAGACACACATACAAATATGTATATATATATATATATATATATTTACATTCATGTACATATGCGTTTATGTCTGGTTGGTTGGTTGGTTGGTTGAACGACTTGCTCTTGGCCATAACATCGCAGCACAAAAGGCAGACTCTTGGCCAGAATAAAATTTGGGCCACATAAAGTGCAGACATACATTTACACAGATAGTTGTGTGTGTATTCCTTTTTTGGATCATTCTCTAAGTAAAAACTTTGAAACTGGCCTGGAACTTGTAGGTCAAGACTGGGCGCCAATAAAGTCAATTGCTGACCTTTACAACAAACTTGCACAGTCAGAAGGTTCTTTATGCTTGTATAGAAGTGCCTTTCATATGTGGGGAAATAATTAGCTAACTAGCTGAGAGGCAGCTGCTTTTAACTAAATGGATATGCTTTAGATGTAGACAATAGTTTTTAGGACTAATTTGCTACAATTTAACAATTTTCTCAATTATTTCGACAATTGAGAATGAGCAAATGCAAAGTTATAAGAGTTAACAGAAGACTCCCTTAAGGCACAAACCCATTTATTAATTTTAGCTTTGACCCAAAGAGAGCCAATAATAATAGCATAATGTATTTGAGCTTCTGTAAACATTAGTTTCATGTATTTATTTATATATTAACAAGATAAAGTTGTTCAATCATATTTGAGTGTGTTAATAATTTATTAATATTTACTAATAAACTGCTAACACATTTAACATAAAGAAAATCTATTGAAGACTATTTACAATACTACTAATACTCATACATATACATAGGTATGAATGTATAAAACATTCTTCAATAAATCGCTTCGATAAACGATAGCAACTTCTCGTGGCAGAGCTTTTTTGGCACGAGTTGGCAGCTCTGTTGGAAAGCAACATAAGTGGAGGAATTTTCAATCAAGGATATTGCAATTGAGTTCTCTAAGAATGTCTAGTAAGTGAGGGAAAGTAGATTTAGTTATCATAACTCATTGCTCTCAATCGAATCAACAGAAACGTTCGTCAGCTCTGCGAAAGCTGTTGTCGTTGATGCGACTGAGTTGGAGAAGCCAACTCTTAGCCAGACTTATGCCACATTGCGCATCTGTCTGAGATATGGAGAGAGCAGTGCGAACATCTTCAATCGATTGATCAAAGTGCTGGAGACAACGGATTTCATACACATTCTGAGTATGATGCCCGACGAGGAACTGGAGCGTTTGATGCCCATGTTGGCGCAGCGTTTGACTCGTCTGCGTTTGGAGATGGCTGAGATACCGTTACTGTACAGCATCAGTCGTAAGATGGGCGTGGCGGAGCTACAGCAGGTACGCATCTGCGATGTAGCGCAAAGCAAGATGAAGCTAAATGGCAGCACCTCCATGTGTCATTTGCACCTTTTAGGCCAGCTGCTGCCGCGTCTGGACATGCTCAATGTTCATGCGGCTGTTGTGGCATCCTTTCCAAACAATTTCCGAAATCTGCGAGCGCTGCTGTTGCGCCAGGGAACATCACAGCTGGTGCTGGATGAAATCTGCGCTCATTGTCCGCAGCTCCAGCGGCTGTTTCTGCGGAACGAGTCGTCCGAGCTGCTGGATGCAAGTAATATTTTGAAATGTTCCCAGTTGAAGGAGCTCCAGCTGCCACTGATGCTGCGCTCGCCACTGGCCGTGTGCCACTTGACACACCTCGAGCATTTGTCGCTGCAGCGTCTGCAGCTCTGGCCGGGTCTGGACTGGCTGCCGATTGTCCGGGAGATTATCACTGCCAAGCGCTACGAGCTGCGCTCTCTAAGATTCGATGGCAGCTGGCTGGTTACACCGCTGGATCTGTCGCTGTTGCAGCTGAAACATTGTTGGGCGCTGCAGGAGGTGCTGCTGAGCAACTGCAAGCTGGCGGAACACACGACGCAGCCGGAGCTGCCACTCAGCTGTCATCGATTCGGCCTGCGCGGTTGCAAGCTAAGCTGGCCGCTGCGCTACCTCAAAAGCAATGCGCAGCTGCAGTTGCTCGACTTCTTTGACTGCCAGCTTGCTGCTGGTGGATATCAACTGTTACAGCACCTGCTCAAGCAACGCCAATGCCTGCCTGCCGTAATGCCGCTCCAGCTGCGCTTTAGCAACTCGACACCACTGCGCGCGGAGCTAACTAGCTGGCCGGCCAGCAGGCGACAGCACAACGAAGCCTGGCTGAAGGTGATGGAGGTGGACGACGATGTGCCCACCTGGAAGCAGCCGATCGGCACGATTAGCATGACATTTGGCAAGCCAATTAACTATACGCCCGATCTGGATCTTCGCAGCTCTACCCAGGCTCCAGTCCCAGCGACTCGCTAAGAGAATTTCAGATTTTTCAGCTAGCTTCGTCCACCTACAGTTAATTATCTATGTTTAATTTTTTTTTTAATTGTTAGGGATAAAGAACAACGTCTATTAAACATTATATTTGTATATTTAAGCAAATCTAAATAACTATTTATTCGGTGGAGTTACAGTGTTTGAAATAATACAGTTCATGACTACGTTTCTTTAAGGAAGTTCAATCTCAAACGTTCCTCTCCATTAGCATGCAAATCAGTTTAAGTTTTCTTCCATAAAAAACTAAAGAAATCGTTAAGTGAAATTTTCTATGTAATTGCGAGGAATTCCATTATAGGCCTTTCCACTGCCCCGGCGAATGTAATGCTGTTTGTTGTTCAGTGGTCGAAGCACACGCGTGAAATGCCACACCCTTTGGGGCAAATAAGACAATCGAAATTCGATAATATTGAACGAGAGGAGCGAAATGCCAGGCCGCTGGCAACGAAGGATTGGGTCAACAAAAAAGTCACACAAAACCCGGCGAAATCAACTCGGAGTGCTTTCAGCTTTTGAAATTCGATGACAGACTAGATGGGACAAGGCACAATCATATATATACATATATATATGTATATATCTAAAAGAAAATTGCGCAAAAAAGGCAAATAAAAAACAATGAAAATGCCCCGAATGCATGCTAAATAGAGGATTTAGGTAAATGGATTTCTAGGCATTTTCGCATTTGCTCGGGAAATTGAATATAAAGTGTGTGTCGGTGTGTGTGTCCCTTTTGTCTTCTGCGAGGACTATGTGTGTGCTTTTATTGGTGTTTATCTATACACATATATGTGTGTGCGTGTGTGTGTGTGCTGGCGACCAACGTTAATAGCCAAAAGTTTAGGCAAAGATTTCGTTTTATTATGTGGAAATTTATTAAAGCCTTTGGGCCAGGACGAGGGATTTTAATCGCTTTGCGTTTTGCTAACGCCACTTATGCCCATTGCCAGTTTCGTTGTTGTGAAGGGCTGAACGTTGAGTGTTGTTTGTTGTGTTGCTACTGTTGCTTCTGTTGCTATGCTGGCATCAGTGCCCAACATCCTTAAGCCCTGGAAATGGAATAATTGGATATTCTTGTTACTTATTTTTGTAACTGCTGCTGTTGCTCGATTCTCGGAAGCAGCCCCGACAGCACCGGCTGCGGGTCCGGCTGCTGACGATGACGTTGATGTTGATGTTGATGTTGTTAGCTTTTCAAAATGCTTTAAGTACGTTTAATGGCTTGCTAAGCTGCCTTTTGCAGCAACTACAAAGAAAGCTGCAATGTGTCGGGCGCAACAAGAAGTGCAAATAAACAAAGAACACAAAAATAAACAAACGAACGCACTCTTAATAATTAATCAATATGACTGCTGCATCCAAAAAAGGTAACGTTTCCCTTTTCATAAGTATATTATATAATTGTTTTTATCGCACAAATATTGTGATTTATATAAGCAAAGTGGCTTGATTCACTCTGGTTGTTTTTATTGGTTTTTTTTTAGCTACATTTGGGGAGAATAACTTTCCTTTGATGAACAAAAAATATATTATTTTAATATAACATATAATGTAATATATAATAAAATAATAGTATATCAAAATAATATAAAATTGTTTAAAATTTTAATCTATATTTTATTATAAATGACATCAATATCAGTGACAATTCAATCAACTAGTCAATCAGTTCCGATTGATGTATAGCTTAGGGTAGGTAAAACAAAATAGTTTAAAACTTGCTGATTGCTGTTTGTATAGCCCTCTAACTGACCAGTTTTAGTGCACTAAGCATATCCTCGAGAGAGAAAGGAGAAAAAGCAGAGGCAGAATGAGTGGGAAAGAGAGCTAAAATTGAGACAGTTGAGGACAACAAGCAACAAATTTTAGACAGTTTTCTTTTATTCACTTTCCTTGGCTTCCTTGTTTAGCTGTTCTAGCTTCCGTCCGTGCTGCTGGCATTTCTTATTTTCTCATTTTCTCATTTTTCATTTTGCTTGTTCACATTTTTTTTTAACATGCGCTTTTGCAGTTAACCCAATGTTCCTTTGTCCACTGCAGCGAGCCAACATTGTTGGTGACAGTTTCCATTGGGAATTAGCGCGGTCTGTAATAAGGATCGTCATCGCCCCCATAATCATTGGCCAGTGTAAACCTGCACTTAGTGTGGTCATTTCGCTTGCAGTCGGCCCCCAAGAGTAGAAGAGAAGGCGAACAGTAGCCGCGAGTGGCACGCCTTCATGCACGGCACATCCAGCAGTCAGCGAGGGACAGGGCGTGGGCGGATGGGAGGGCCAGATGTGTACCACTAGCTGAAATACTCTGGGGCGCAAACGGTAGCGCGCTTTGTGCGGCTTCCGCCTCGTCAGTTAATACCCAAATGGATGTTTAGTGTAAGTCGTCGTCATTGTCGCTCCTCTGAGTCCTGGTTCTCCTTTGGTGTGGACATCGCTGCTGCTCGGCTGCTGTATTCTCATTTTCTCACATCCTCTTTGCTTTAGCCGGCTTTTGTGGCCCCGATTCCGGGTCTGGGTGCGGCAACGCAATTACGTAGCCTGTTATTGTTGACGGAGTCCAAGTTGTTGCTCATTTCTGTATCTGCTTAAAACTTAATGACACTTTTAGTTAATTATCGCGGTGGATTTGCAAAATTAAGCGATTTGGGTTTAATTACCAGGGATTACTCTACTCAACCGAGCTCTTTTTCCTTTTTTTATTGGGGTTTCCTCTTTGTGTCTTATTTTCGCGCGGACCGCTGCAGCAATTGGCAGGTTGCGGTTAACAAATCAGATTCCAGAATAAGTACACCAAGTGGTGCTTAAGGCAAAGTAAGTGGAGAATTAATGCTTTTTAAAACGTTTTCCCCATCTTTAAAGGAACTCGAAAATGACAGCTTTTGATGAGTTTGGGTTCACATAATATTCAGTAGCCCTTAGTCTTTTATTATTTGAACATAATTTTGTGGCATTTTGAAATATACTTGCTTAGAGTGTTTGTTAATGTTGCCTACTTAATTAAATAATGATGCTACTTAATTGCAAATTTGCAGCTCGGAAAGTTATTTAGATTTGCCAACAAGTTCCCTAGTTTGTCCTACGATTTGATCTAAAATTCTTTGATTTGGTTTCTTTAGCAGCTACAAACTCAAAATGCTGCTTATGATAAGAAATGGATTGCATTGTCTTGTCGGCTTGATTGTAAAACATTTATAGCACATTTAATGGCCGCTTTCCTATTAGCCTACTTCAAAGGAACACTCTCGCTGGCAGAGCGAACTTTCAATTTAAAGTTGAGACAAGTTTTCAAAATTAGAAAATATTAACAGCGGCTGTATGTGTGCCGGCAATTAGCCTCCAATTAATTTAGAATTTTAAGTAAGCTGCATGAAGTTTGCGTCTGCGAGAATAAATTTTCGATAGTTTTTGCTTTTTATATTAATATTAATGTTCAGTTGGAGCTCAGGTGCCTTTAATATGTTACCTTTAGCCAGGAGAGAGCCAGACTCTTAGACTTACGTTTGCAAATAATTTGTGCGTTGAACTAAGCGGAAAACCGAAACTCAGCCACACAAAAAGTTTTTAGACAACAGTTTTCAAAGTTTTACAAGTGGTGCAGAAAAACACAGAATGCAAGCAAAGCGTTGTGGTGAGCTGCAGAGCTGTATAGGGGATTGGGCTGCAAAGGCGAATGTCGATGGAGCCGTGAGATGAGGCTGGCTGCAGAAGCGGTAACCTGTATTTGCCCACTTAGACAGGGAAGGAGTTAAAATTTATTGGTATTTCGGCTAAAATCTCGCAAAGTATAAACCACTTAGGTGCAACGCCTCGGGGCGGCCAGCAGCAGGGGCGTGGCCATGGCAAACACTTGCGTATTTTGTCTTGGCTGCACTTTTCCATATATTTTTTTTATTATTTTCTATTTGGTTTGCCCTCAATTGTTGTTGTTGCACTTTTAAGGCATAAATCAGCCATGAGCAGCGCCAAATGCCAAAACTAAACCTCCTAGCACACACACATTCTTTACACAAACATACTCGGCATACAGCGACTAACGTGTGTGCGTGTTTCGTTTTAAAATCAGCAGAAGGTAAAGCCATAGCAACACCACCACAACAACAACAAAAAATGGCCCATATTACTTGCTGCAACAATTGCAAGTATTGTGAACCTTGCTATATGCCCTGCTCTCCTCTCCCTGCCTCTGTTGCAGCCTGCTTGGCGCGCATAAAGTTTTATTCTGCAGCAAAGTTTGTTTATATTTTATTATATTTTTCACACGGCATTGGCTTTTAAACGTTTTCTGATTGTAAAAAAAAGATTGCATCGCAGCTCAGATACCCTGTAGACCAAGGCTTGATTTAAGCATGTGATCTGTAACAGATAAAACGGACTTATATTAAGTATACGTCTTGTATGTAGAGAGATAGTCTCGTTAAAAGTTTTTCTAATAATACCAACATGTTGACTATGTTAAAAGTGAATTTATATATATCTATATAAATTGGTCTTAGCAATTTATTTACCCAATTATTCAAGCCCTTAATATTTATTTTTGGAGTCTATATGACGCGGCTTACTTCACTTTGATAAGACCCAGCTTCAATTCATAGGGTAGAACCCTTATTGGACTTCATTGGCTTGAAAGCCCTTCAGGATTCTGTATGGCAAAAAAAGAAGGAAAAAAAGATTTCATTTAATTTCCGTGGTCATCCACATGAAGTAGTCTGCCTCGCATTTCGAGTGCAAAAGAGGCGTAAAAAAAAGAATGGAAAATAAGAATCAAAAAGAAAATGGAACCTGCAAAAGGGGCACGTGGCAAGTGGCAAGTGGCAGCCTATTAGCGAGTGGCTACAACTCGAGCCGGAATTTGCATGCAAAAAGATATTATTTGTTAAGTTGCTGTCAGTGCCTTAAAAGTCCTTTCGCTGTGCGGCATTATAACTTATATGAAAAAAGAGAGAGAGGGAGAGAGAGAGAGTGTTTAAGGCAGTTGATGTGAATAGCTGATGAAGATAAGTTTT